CCTCCTCCTCCTCCTCCTCCTCATCAACCCTCCCTCCGCTGCACCTCGCGCCACAGATCTGCTCCTCGCGATGCAGTCATGCTATCAGATCGTAGAATCATACTTAATATATTGGCACTGAATGATAAGCATCTTCAAGTACCAAATACGTAGCCTACTCCAAAAATAGTTTTTAATTAATTAATTTTTGGAATTTGATCTTTTCTATAAGCCTTCGCATATTTTCGTCAACATAAAAAAATGTACAAAAATAAAATAAATAAATGAAAAATAAAAAATTCTAACGATATCAACATTTTAGGTTCAACAAAGTTTTAATACTTGAAGAGTGCTTGAGTTCAACAAGGTCACACAGCCTCAGATTAGTTTTTATGACTTTTTATTATTTTGTTTTGATTTATTATTTGTTATTTTTCATTTTCATTTATATTTTATTTTTTATTGTGCTTATATTTTCTGTCACAACCAGTGATACATCAACCTCAACATAAAACGGATAATAATAATAATAATGATAGCCTAATTATATTTATACATCAAATTATATTACGGCGATAATTATTATTATATAAAAATATTGAATCAAACAACATCCAAATTTTAAGTTCAACAAAGTTTTAATGCTTGACAAGTGCTTGAGTTCAACAAGGTCACACAGGCTCAGATTAGCTTTTATTATTTGATTTTTATTTATTAATTTTCATTTTTATTTCATTTTATTATGATTTTTTATTGTTTATTGTTTTTATGTCATTGTGCTTATATTTTCTGTCACAACCGTGATACATCAACCTCAACATAAAAACTGAAAATATTTCATAATAATAATAATAATAAAAATATAAAATCAAACAATATCAAAATTTTAAGTCTTCAACAAAGTTTTAGTACGAGTACTTGAGTTCAACAAGTTCACACAGCCTCAGATGAGTTTTTATTACTTTTTAATATTTTATGTTAATAATAATAGTTTTTATTTTCTTTTATGCTACTACTAATAATAATTATTATTATTTTGTGTAATTGTGCTTATATTTTGTCACAACCATATGTCAATACAATCATATAAATCGCAAATAATTGTTGATTTTTTTTTTTTACATCATTGTGCTTATGTTTAGTCACAACCATGATATGTGAACCCCTTCACACAAATTGCAATTTTTTTCTAACCTTTCATAGGTCCTCGCTAGCAGTACTATAAAACTAACACGACTAGAGCATGATTAATATGTGATGAAAAGTATGAAAGTGGTTTTGTCAACACCATCAGTATTTCTTCAATAGATGGTGCTGACAGTCAGGTGCTGTGTCTACAGGCCTACTTTCAGGAAACCACAGTGTGCAGTATGCAAACCACTGCAGTTAAAGGTCAATCAATCATTGCATGCAATTATTACGAAGCTATTTAGTCTCAGTTATTTAGTGATCACAGTTATGTAGGCTGCCTCTTAATTGTCATGGTTTGTGATGTGTTAAAATCTGTCGGCTTGTGTAGTAATGGCAAAATAAAGAAACAATTATAGTAATTTATTCAAAATCAAATGAAATGCACTGTGTTTTTTACAGTGTGAAATCTGGAAAATAATAATAAAACTGGGTTCTTCTTTCTTCCACAGTTACAGATATCATGGACAACATGAGGGACACCAACAAGACTTCCCAGGATCAAAAGAAACATTTCCACTGCTTTCCAGCACTTGCACCCCTTTCACTGTCCTTAGAATGGTTTAGTCCAGTGCAATGTGAGGGAATGCAAGGACATTGGAGGACCCAGAAAGGATGGCCCTAAGTTAAAAATAGCAGAAGAAAATCAGACAAATTCAGAATCAACAAATCAATGCATTAATCCAGACAGAAGAGAAATGTACACACGATCACTTCACAGTACTACTGTAAGGAAACGCTTCAGAAACTGTGCTACATCAAACTGCAGATACATTTCAAAGAGAAGAAAAGTCACAAAAAATTAGGAATATATTGGGTATAATAACAGTATTCGATACTCACATGTAAATGCATGTCCCCTCACGAGGTTGTCGTGGCCCCCTTCACACAGGCCTCAAAAGATTCCAGCAGCTCCTTACAGCCCTCTGCACCCTTCCCCTGAACACTGGACACATATACAGTCCGTTCAGTGCTAACAGTCAAATAGTCTGCACCTATGAGTGCATTGATTTTTTTGGACAACTGATCTCATGTCAGGATCAAAGGGGACACATTCCTTGGAGTCAAAGGGTGTTGTCACATCATCACATGAAAGAGTCTTCGGAGTTATGCTTTTTTTTTTTTTTAGGATATGGCTAGCTGACGTTATATACTTTGGGAAGTCTTGCAGTGTGAGATATTATAAGCAAACTAAAGCTATTTTAAACTATAGTGTAGCACAAATATTTAACATTTTTAAATAATTAAAAAAATTGTTTATTTCTTCATGGGAACAGATTTGGAGAAATCACTTGCTCACCAATGGATCAATGCAGTGAACGGGTGCCGTCAGAATAAGAGAATGTCAGTTTAACCATCACTTCTTGCCAAAATATGAGTCCATAATCCATAATAACATTAATCCATAATAACACTTCTTCCAATGAAAGGTCCATCCCCTCTTGTCTTCTCACATCAAAATCCACCCACATATTTGTTTAGAACAGTTTTCACTTGTAAATGGTGCTCGATCTGTGCACACTCTAAAAAATGCTGGGTTAATTACAACCCAGTGCTGGGGAAAATAGGGACAAACCCAGCAATTGGGTTGTTTTGCCCCAGCGGTTGGGTTAAATGTTTAACCCAACCTTCTGGGTAGTAACCCAACCGCTGGGTCAAAACAACCCAATTGCTGGGGTTGTCCCTACTTTACCCAGCACTGGGTTGTAATTAACCCAGCATTTTTTAGAGTGCATATTTCTCTCCTGATTCAGACAAGACAACTTTTACACTGGAGAAAGCAATATTATATAGAACTTGTATTTCAGACTGGAGTGGTGTGGATCACTTGTGGATTATTGTGATGTTTTTTATCAGCTGTTTGGACTCTCATTCTGACGGCACCCATTCGGGATCCATTGGTGAACAAGTGATGTAATGCTAAATCTGTTCTGATAAAGATGGATGGCCTTAGGGTGAGTACATTTTCAACAAATTTTTATTTTTTTGGTGAAATATCCTTGAAAAAAACGATTCTTGAAAAAAAAAAACCCAGACATGTTAAGCAGATTTGCAGATTTTCTTCACAGATCGCTAGTTTGAAGTCTCTCACTGGGCTAAAATCTAATATAAAAGATAATACATAATTCTAAAACACTAGGTGCTTTCAAAGTCTAGACCAGATCTGCACGTGACGGCGACTTCATAACCTTCATAAATAACGCAGACATTGCAATACAGGCGATGCAATGTGAGCTGTGAGCAAACCTCCACTCCCTCGCCATTCCATGTGTGAGCCTATTTGAAACCAGGCTATATTTACATCACACATATACATTACTAAAGTTCATGCTAAATTTGGCATTTGGCATATTGCTCTGAATGTCGCATACAAATATGAGACATGTTTATAATTATATTTTGACTTGTATGCGTTCGTGCATATTCATACTGCAAAGACTCAAGCATTTGTTTCATTCTATTTTGTAATCTCAGATGTATTCTGAATTATTATTGAATGAATTTAATACATAATGCAATACTCTGTTTCTGACAAATGCTATGTTTTACGTGTAAGCACCCAACCTAGAAGTCATGCACCACAAATGATGACCTCAATTTACAATGCGTGCATGCGAGTAAACCAGTTGAGAGATAATCATAAAGTAGATAGCGCTTCGCTTGTGAATGGTCCAACTTGTGCAACTCACCGTAAAGTTCACATTATTGTGTCACTGTGTGAGTGCATTGACATCTGACCTTTTGACCTAGAAAGAGAGTGCTCTGCTTTGTTAACAACTGAAGATACAGTTTATTCATTTGTTCGTGAAAGCATCCAATGCTGGAAAACGACAGAAACTATTGTAATATGCATCTCCAAAGCTCTGTTGACATCAAATGCAAGCACAAGGGGAACGTGTGTTACAGCAACATGCTTTAACTTAGTAACACGATGGCTAACGTGGGTCATTTTTCACCTGCATCATCAATTTCAAAAACTTGCTACCCCCCAGCACCATGTACTCAATACTGAATCCAACACACGTTTTAACTAGTCTTTCAAAAATGTTCATTCACAAACCACTACAGATAACCTATATACAGGGCGGTGTTATGATATTGGTGAATGAACAAGAACAAATGCTGAGCTATAAAGCATGCAACAGTTGTTTTTTTTTTAAAGCGCCAGACATTTAAAGTATTCAAAATTCAGTGTTGCATTAATGTACATCCTTACTGAAATTTGACTCACCATTTGTCCAGCTCATCTTTGGGAGCCTTGCACTGAGCAGGAACTTCTTCAGGCATTTTTCTTTGTTTGTGTGACACAATGTCAGAGAGCAGAGAAGAGCCTTTAAGGAAGTACAGGGTGAACAACTAATATATAGAGGATTACTTCCCAGGCTGTGCGGGAAGGAGGAGGAAGAGAGGGAGGAGAAACAGGCTGCAGAAAGTGTCAGAGAGGGCAGGAATCATATAGTAAAGGTGACTTTGACAAAATTAGAATGGAATGTTCCTTCTTGAAAGGTACATATAGCATATATTTGGGTATTAATAATACAAGATATCTGCAATGTTGCTGTTTCAGAATAACGTAAATCAAGATCCAGCATGTCTGCTGTAAATATTCATTCATGAACAAGGGGTAGATTTTAAACTAATGTTTATTAATTCCTATCCATTTAAATGAGTCTCTCTCTCTCTCTGTGTGTGTGTGTATGTGAAACATATTTTCCATATTCCATATCATTTTCATATCCTCTCTAGTCTTACATTTTCTTGTAAACAGGATGGTGAATATATAACAACATTTTTATTTATGTACTATCCCTTTATTTATGACTTCGTCATAACATAAGAAATAAAAAATAGACTCCAATCAAACACAAGATGGCGCAGTTTTACAAGAGCCAGTAAGAACATGAACAAACTACAAAATAAAGAAAAAGAATCAACATCTATCTATCTATCTATCTATCTATCTATCTATCTATCTATCTATCTATCTGTATGTCTGTCTGTCTACTATCTGTCTGTCTGTCTGTCTACTATCTATCTATCTGTCTGTCTACTATCGGTCTATCTATCTGTCTGTCTGTCTACTATCTATCTATCTGTCTGTCTACTATCTATCTGTCTGTCTGTCTGTCTGTCTGTCTATGCGAGTGAACAGTCAGATGCTTACAAGGTTTGTATTCAACCTGATTTTGTTCTTGGCTAAATATTTTATACATAAATGTAAATTTTGCAAACGTAAGCCTTTCTATAGAAATGTTCTTGAAGATTTAAAACTCTATACGCGTGTGATTTCTGACTCTACTAATAAGAAAGCTGTAAAGACTGCGAATGTGTTCAAAAGATACATTATTGTCTTGCTCCCTGGCATATGATTTAATGTCATTTTGTTCCATCTGGTTGCATTAATAAAAAAAATAAAATAAAAAAAGCTTGGCGCAAGATATGTATACCACGTTTTCCCGAAATATTTCAGTGCGTTCACAGTCTCCCTCTAGTGGCCAGTCCGCGAAGTGCAGCTCTGCGCTCGCGGCGGCTACAGGCTTCTCGCTACACTGTATTAGTCAGACTCAAATCCAAGCGAGGCGACCGAGGCGCCATCTTTCGTGCGTTTCTCCCTGCAACGATGAGAAAATGATCTCGAAACCGGTGGCCCATGCCACCTCCAATCTGTAAATAAAGGCGTATATGAAAAGAGCTCGTATCCGAGCAAAACATCGATTCATAATATAAAGAAAAATATACATTTGCTATCCATAATCCACTGAAGGGGACGGCAGCAGCAAGGTGTTGTCTAGTATCAACCATTTCGTGATTCCGGAGCCGATAGCGAAAAGGGTTCCTGAAACCGGGGTGTTTTTCACGAAGCGGACGCGGATATGGCAAAGGCGGCGGGGTTGCTTTACCAAACGGCTTATTTCGTGCTTTGGTGACATTGTTGTGATACTGAAGCCAAAGGTCGGTGGAATAGTTGCCGAAATTCCCTCGGATCGCGCGCCCGTCACGTGGTAGGTTCCTCCTTTTTCTTTGTTAGTGGACGATCTCGAGCAGCACTTGCGTTACATAAACCTAACACTGCAAACCTGCCTGAGCTTCCAGTTTTACCACGAACTGTTGTATTTGCAATAATTGAACGTGTAATTTGATTAATGGGGGTTCGACGGCTTGTATGATCGCTTTAAAACCGATTACCATGCATTAAACTCACTCATAAGCGCGCCTATTTAGAATCTCCCCTCATTTGAACTAGAACAGACCTATATACCTTCCTTGTTTTTGATTATGCAACTCGCAGCCTTATGTGGTCTGTGCTAACTTACCGGTTCTCGTTCAAATTGGTGGTTAACATGACTTGCATAACGCAAGCAAGGCCATTTGAGAGCATACTAAACATGTGTAACGTTAATGCTCATATTTACTGTAGTATGAGGCTTAGCAGACATCTAAGTTAGCAATGCATTAAAAACATGCAGTGTATTTTATGAGGTTCTACGTCTAATCTTCGAGTCGGAGCTGAAAGGCTGCTTCATTTATGCACGGAAGTGCTGTGAACGTTCACGTGGTCTGTTCAGCAAATACTGCTAAAGCGAAACGTTGCACTTGTGCGTAGGGATGGGCGATACCACTTATTTTGTTTTCATACCGATATTTTTCAAGGCAGTATTGTCGATACCGATTCGATACTTCTGAACTAAACTTTTAAATTATGAAATGTATTAAATTATTAAATTACTAAGAGTAAAATGGGTAATAAGCACTTAACTTTGTTTAAAACGCATTTTAACATTCAATATGCCTTAATTGTAACTTATTAGGTTATATTTTTGTTTACACATGATTCAAATCTATAAATACTACAGTTGAACTATGGTCACTTTAGTAAAACCATGGTTAATTTTCATTAGGGACTGCCGGTGACCGGCTGTTGCATGCATAAAATGCAACCTTTTTTATTCTGACAGTGTATGATTTCTATTAACATTACAAAAATAGAACATGATCGATATTATCTTTCAACGTTCAATTTAAATAACTGTAATTGCACAAACTATGTAGGCTACAATTTCAGTTTGTTTATTGAGAAATAACTCTGTCCTCTGATAAGCATTGTTCAGGGCTGCCGTTCCCAAAAGCTTTAATGCTTTCTTATGATACTTTTGGGAGACGGAGCCCCGTTTGAATGCACTGTCAGCAGTGAGTGAACGCTCTCTGTGATTGATGAGTTCTGTCTTACAACATTTGCGTGTCCAGATGAGCAGGAAAATAGTTCTATCTATCGAGGTTATTCGTCCAATTCAATGCATATTGTACAATTTTGTTTGTTAAGTTAACAAAATCACTGGTAAATAAAACACACCTTAGTATCGATATTTTTTGTTTGAGTATCGATACTTTCGATACTCGCGGCAGTATCGATATATCGATACGCCCATCCCTACTTGTGCGTTGTAGCTTTAGTACGTTAGCTAGGCATTCGTGTGTGAGATTTTATAAACTAACTTTACATTAACCTAATATATGATCTATTATTGATCTGCAGTGTGTATTATACCGGTATTTCCTGTATTGTGTGTACTGGAGGAGTTCGCTTGTTATCGCAGTCATGCGTAGAAAACGCGCGATTATTTAATTTTTTAGCGTGAACACAGAAACGTGGGTTCTGTACGCTTCCTTCGCTGGTTCTTTGTTAAACCTTAACCGGATTTGTTATGTTTACTACTTTGACATATTAACCTAGTTAGGATCTTAAAACTCCATAACTCAGTGTATGGAGTTTTAAGACACCAAATTTTGTTTGAGCGTTTCAGATTAAAGATTCCACCAATTAGTTGCTACTTAACACGTCCCAACTTTACTGTTTGAAATGTAAACGTCGGTGATCTAGAAAAAGCAGTTGTTTTCTAGATGGAGCGGGTCGCCCCCTCATGGGCAGCACCATGTTTACATCACATGACCAGTCTGTTTCATGTCATGCAGTTGACCGAGTTATTACTAATAATATATTTACTTCATAAAGTGTTTTCAGCAAGTGCTCAAGGCGTTTTACAAAGCAGAGACAAAGACAACATACAGTAAAATAACAGCTTTTGAGTGAGTGACGTTAGTGAGTGACGTGACATGTGGCCAAGTATGGTGACCCATACTCGGAATTTGTGCTCTGCATTTATCCCATCCAAAGTGCACACACACAGCAGTGAACACACACACACACCCGGAGCAGTGGGCAGCTATTTATGCTGCGGCGCCCGGGGAGCAGTTGGGGGTTCGGTGCCTTGCTCAAGGGCACCTCAGTCGTGGTATTGAAGGTGGGAGAGAGCGCTGTACATTCACTCCCCCCACCCACAATCCCTGCCGGTACAAGACTCGAACCCGCAACCTCTCTAACCATTAGGCCACGACTTCCCCAAATTTTTTGTGAATTTCACAAACTTTTTTTGTGAATTTACAACCGTTAGTAAACAATTGCTAGAGTTGTGACAGATAAAAGCTAGCTTTAAAAAACCCAGTACTTTTCAAGACTGATCTCATCAGTAAAATCTGTCAGTGTATCAATATATGTCCTTTGATAATGCAATGGCTATAACAATAATTATGAAGCCACACTGACATGTTTCGTTAGTAGTGAAATACTCTACAGTTGTTTGTGTTTTTAGTTGAGGAATGGACGGTACATGGTAATTCATGAGTCGAACCATCTCTACATGTACTTATGAAGAGATAGTCTCTTATCTGTTGAGGCCTAAAGGCATATCCCTAATTCCGTTGACACAGATGGTCTGCTGAGGAGGAGGGGAAAATGAGGAGGCTTGCTCTTACATAAGCTTGAAAAGAGTAGGTCTTTCCCTACTAACGACTATGGTAATGGTCCCCGCTCAGTTGAGGTCAATGAGTTTTCATTCCCTTTTTACTTTGAGGGGAAGAGCATCAGGACAGATAAATTCATGTCTATGAAATACTGATAACTGATTCCTGTTTGTGCATACTCACACCGTTATCACTAGTTATCTTCTAGTCTTGTGTTTATTTTTATTTATTCAGTGTATTGAGACTAAAATAAAATTCAATATGGCATCACAATTGACCTCTTTATATTTTTTATGTATGTTCTTGGTTTTGCTGTGAATGATTCAACACTGCATGTTATTCCAAAGATTTTCCCTCCCAAAACAATATTCGCTATGCTAAAACTAATCTTATTAGAGGCCTGATGGCTTGAATTTTGGAGAAGGATTATCAGTTGTGTTTGAGGTATTTTACTCATGAATGCCTCAAAAAAATGTGAAGCTCAGAATGGGCTGTTGTAAGAAAACCTTGAAGATAAGAACGCTCCTTAGACAATTGATGTGAAAAAGCTCAGCCCATATTCAACCCCACCCATTGAATATCCTGTTTCAGCCATAAATAGACAGATTACACAAGTGCAATAGTAATTTTCATTATAAGACAGTAAGGGGACTAAATAGCTTGTCTCACCAGATGGTTATTATTAAAGTTTAATGAATGTGGGGGGGTCTTGTTGAAGGCCAGCTGGCTTGAATTTTGGAAAAGAAATATCGGACAGAGATTGCAGTTATGTTCCAGGTATTTGGCTTATTTTCCAAATTTTGAGCCACAGAACGAGGTTTGCTGAAACTCTGGGTCTTGTAAGAAAACATTTAAAGGGTTAGTTCACCCCAAAATGAAAATTCTGTCATTAATTACCCACCCTCATGTTGTTCCAAACCCGTAAGACCTTCGTTCATCTTCGGAACACAAATTAAGATATTTTTGATGAAATGTGAGAGCTCTCTGTTCCTCCCATAGACAGCAACGCAACTGTAATGTTCCCAGGTCCAGAAACGTAGTAAGGACATCGGTAAAACAGTCCATGTGACATCAGTGGCTCAACATCTGTTTTGTGAAGCTACAAGAATACTTTTTGAGTGCAAAGAAAACAAAAATACAAAAAAAAAAGTTCAACAATTCTTCTCCCCCGATTTACGTCTTCCGCCATTTTGGAGAGTACCCAAGAGCGTAATTGACGTAATCAGCGTTGTTTACGTTCGGGGGAGAAAGCGTGCGCATGAATGTAATCTGCGTAAACAGCGTTGTTTACGCTTAGGGGAAAGCGTGCATATGCATTATGATACTCTCTAAAATGGAGGAAGACGTAACTCGGGGGAGAAGAATTGTTGAAAAATTGTTGAAAAAATATCCTCACACAATTCATGTGTATAAATGGATAAAATCAAGCACCACCCATTGAATATTCTTTTTAATCATACATGTGAGGATTACACAAGAGCAATTACACAAACTGCTTTTGTGACATATGGCAAATATTGGTGCAAATATTAGAAATTAAGAGAACTTATTAAACGGCTTGCAGCAGGTTATTATTAAAGGTTATCTTCACTTTCAAAATATTCTGTATATTTGCAGTCTCCTAAATCTCTTTTTTCCTTTGTAGCCAGGCTGTGTAGTTGGGCTGGAGTGAAGGTTTGGAGGTGCAGGCTGCCGTGCCCATTCCTCGGCCCTGCATGGCTGCGATGGCGCCCGCTTTGACCGACGCACCAGCCGAAGCCCGCCACATCCGCTTCAAACTCGCCTCTCCCTCATCCACCCTGTCCCCCGGCAGCACTGAGAACAACAGCAACGCCAGCAACATCCTCATCTCCGACTCGGTCTCGGACTCTGCCGGTAGCCACACCAACGGCAAGTGTCACGTCAGCGCCGACGACGGACAGAGCTTCGCCCATTACCACAGCGTCAAGGGTCAGGAACAGGAACCCCTGTCTAATGCCCCATCTCTGGGCAAGCTGGCAACGTACTTGTGCTCTGATGTCAAACCATTGCCCTCGTCCACCAAAGTCAAGGAGTCACTGAAGCTGCAAGGTGTCCTCATCAAGCAGTCGGTGCTGAAGAGCCACGGCCTGCTGAGCGGCTCCATATTCCCGAGCGCTGCTGCAGGCAGCGACTTCCTGCTGCGCAAGCGGCACACACTTGAGCTAACCAGAGGTCAGTTGAAGAGCCTTGTCAACGGTGCCGGAGCTGGAAGTACCATGGTGCCTGTGAACGGACTCTCCAAGAAAGTGGCTGTACCTAGTGCGGCCGTGGCTGAGAAAGGCAGCGTGGCCACAGTGAATGGAGACAGCAACCAGCCTTCCACCAATGGGGAAGCGTTGTTATCCGTGTCCTCCAAGTCTGTCGGTACCTTTGCAACCGGCGACGTGAATCCACAACAGAATTTGACACCAAGCGTTCAAGGTGTGTCATCACATAGGGAGCTCACGGCTTTGTCTGAAAGTACGGAGGTTAAAGCAGAACCGGAGAGTCCCGATGTTGAAACAAACAGTAACAATATCGTAGACTGTCCCTTGTCCCTTAACTCTTTCCCAGTCCATGATGACTCATCCGTTTCGACCCCCAACCTGGAGGCTCTGCTCCGGGATTGGGCTCAGCAGAGCCAACACAGGCAAACGGACATCGAAGGCCGCCTCCTGCTTGTTCCTACTTCCTGTTTTTGTGTGTGTATATACAAAGCGTTGTGAGCTGTGCCTAACAGAAGCACATGCATTTCAGACCCCTTGTGTTGGTAAACTCTGCATTATATATTCAAATATTCAGGTGCTAAAATCCTGTTGCTTTGGAGTTTAGCCCAATGAGCATTTAGATGTATTTTTTCATCGTATTTGGTCTGATTTAATATTTTAGGTTGAAAGATTTTAGGTTGATTTATCAATGCACGCTGTTTTAAAAGGAGCCATTTAGCAGCTTGCTGACTTGGCTTTGCACCTTTGACCTAAATAATCAGGGATCCATGAATGCAGTTTTTGGATGTCATATTTGAGCTCACTGAAACATGCTCCAGTTTCTCTAAACGCCACTGTCACATGCTTGAATCCATTCAGGGTGTGTGTTTGCTGGCTGAACGCTGATGATGATAAGCGATTTTTCAGCCCGGTTTCGTCCTTTGCAGTGCTCTCTGACTAATCTTTCTCGGCACATGTTTATGACATCACGCTGTGATGGTTGGGAAATTAGAGCATGAGGAACTGCTGCTTGTTGACCTCTGACTGCAGTTAAATCAAGATGAATTTAAACTTTGTGCATCCCAGGACATTGATCCCAAACACCCACACTCATTATTGGAAGCTTTTAATGGAACACAGCTGCTATGCAAATGGAAGATTTGCTTTTACTGCAATTAAAGACCACTTTAATCCATCGAGAGCTGGAGTGACGGCTGCAGCGCTTTACAGAGATGGGGGTTTTAATGGTCTATGCTCAAAAAGTCACCAAAAATCGAAAACCAAAAGTTGTTTATTTTCCTTTTACGTGTATGTTGACAGATTGTGGAACGGTTATTGGCTGCGGGTAAATCTCACAAAAATATGTCCAGGTCACATTTCAGTTCAAAATCAAAAGAAGAAATAAGAAATTATATTTTGCATAAAGCAAATCCTTTGACTTTCTTTCTTCTGGGGAACATATTGGAGAAATATGTCAGTGTTTTTAAAGTCAGTGGTCACCAAAACGGTTGGTTCAAAATATGTTTTTTTCCGTGTTCGACAGAAGCTAGGAAGTCATACAGGTCTGTAAATGCATACATTTCATTTATGATAAAGACTAAAGAGATTTTCAACTGTTGTAAAAACAAACAAACAAAAAAAGTTACCCCAACATATTCTTGACTTGAGGTTCACACATGTATGTGAGAAAACGACAAGCTAATCAGGAAGTGCCTTTTTTGATCTGATAAAGACAAGTATCAGTGTATTTGTTTGTGTTTGAGAAAAACAAGCCAGATTCAGTCCTTCATCCATAAACTGTGCATTCATTGGTATTGTGTTTACATATTAGGGATGGGCGATATCTTATCGTTTGCGATATACCAGTAAAAATTGAAATTCTCCACACGATAAGAATTAGTCCTCCCACGATAATAGCGATAAAGTCTAGTTGTTGACATATTTCTGTCGGAGCGACATCGCGGAAGGCGGACGTGAAATTGAGGAGTAGCCTATATCGCTAAATGAGGAGCTCGAGCTCCTTTTACCTGTTTACAAACCTGTTGTCCAACAAAGATATAATTTCTAGACATGCTTTTTCTCCAAATTAACTTAATAACATAGTCGAGTGTTTGAAATACTTCTTTTTGTGACCAGACGTGGTTTCATATTACAGAATGATGGTATTATATACAGTGATAAAGGCCATGTGGATTAACATTGCGTTATAAATATACTTATAAAAATACCCAAGATTGAAGAACACCGATAAATCATATATTTTGTGCAATCATATGTTTATTTTCCTCAAGTTTCATCAGTTAAAATGTCTCTATCTCCGTTGTACGTTTTATTCAGCAATAACTGGATACCTTCCTGGAGCATCGTCAGTAGTATTACTTCTGCTATGGATATGTGGAGTTTCTGTGCAAGAGCACCCTCCGGCTTCCAGTATGAATTAAACAGTCTTTATATTACGTGTGTACTCATTAATGATCACAACACCCTATTTTGGGTAAAAATAGGAAAGATAATACTTTTCTCTAAAGAAACAGGATTCCCTGAATTATCGCCATTGATATCGTTATCGTAATAAATACCAGAAATATCGTGATATATTTTAAAGCCCATATCGCCCATCCCTATTACATATATAAAAATAGTCATTCATAATATCTCCAAATCTGCTGTTGGCCTTTGACAAAAGCTGATGTATTTGGGTAGTGCCCCTAGATGTCTGGAAACCATCATAAACACTTATGTTCTCAGGACTTTCAGGATTTCTCATTCCGGAGTCTTTCTTCACCATTGTCCTTTTATGTTCTTCCTCCTCCCATTCCCTCTGTCTGAGCTGAGCCCACTCGTGTTACGTAACCTTTTCCTCTCTCACTTTCTCAGACGTTCTCTTTCTTTTCGCCTTGCATTCCTCCACCCCCTTTTCACCGTCTTTCCCCCATAATTCCTCTGCATTTCTCTGCCAAGCCTAACCACCTCACATACTTCTCTATTTATCCCCTCTCTCTTTCTCTCCATCCATCTGTTCAATTCTTGCTCTCTTCCATGCTTGCGCTTTCACATCATGACTCAAGAATTACAGCTGTGCTTTCGACCCCCATAGAAAATATGCATCCAATTTGCGTGGATTTTTTCTGATTTATATATTTCCCCCTCGCACTACAAACATACACTTACAGCTTGGTCTGTATTTGGAGAAAAATCCCCAAATACAGAAAAATACGAAGAATGTAAATACAAGAAAAAAATTTGACACTTTTTTTTTTTCCCTGATGAAAAAAAAAAGTGATTTTAAAATGTATTGTAAAGTAATAATAAAAATGATAATAGTAAAATAAAAATTCAATGAAGTAACTACATAATAATACTGAATATTATTAAAATTGCTAAATAAAAGCAAAATAAGAATGATTACTATTGTAACATGTAGTTGTAAAATTAAAAAAAATATATATTAGGGCTGCACGATAAATCGCATACGATATTTAATGCGTATCTTATCAGTAAAGTCGGTTCTGTAATCAGCGGTAAATCTCCATCACGTGCGGGCTTTCACATTGGGCAGCATTAACTACACAGAGCCGTTGTTCACTGACAACCTGCGCAAAACCACGTTCATATTCGCGCGATTTTTTCCGCAGCTCGTCAGTGAACAACGGCTCTGTGTAGTTAAATGCTGCCCAATGTGAAAGCCCGCAGGTGATGGAGATTTACCGCTAATTACAGAACCGGCTTTCTGACAAGATGCGCATTAAATATCGCATGCGATTTATCATGCAGCCCTAATATTTATTTATATTAACTATTACTATTACAAATGTTTATGGCTTAATTTCTTTTTCCAAACATTGCACCATGAAACTTTGGGAAAATAGTTGTCCAAATAGGGTTGTGCGATATTGACAAAAAATATCTCGATATTTTCTTGGATTTTATGAATAACGATAATTAGATGATAATTTGCTGAGTGTTGTTGTGCTGTGTGCACTGATAGAAATGAATCTTTTCCAATAAGTTTAAATTGATTTTTACCTTTTATGGGCATTTTTACCTTTATAAAGCCATTTTTCTAAAAGTGTGCATTATCTTTTGAGGCAAATTCTTACATTTAATCAGTCAATTAGAATAATAAGACATTTGGGCTGTTACCAAGCAAATTAATTTAGTATCAATAAAATTCATCTTTGCAATGTGGAGGAAACACAAGCTGCATGTGAAGTGGCATTTAGATGTATTACTGTATTTAGATGTATGATGTACACTGCTGTTTAGTGCATTTAACCTGCAAATGCATAAATAATGTTTTGATATATTAAACAAAACATTGAATACTGTTATTTGAAATGATTTAAATAATAAAAAAAGTTCAATTAAAACCGCCAGCAGGTGGCAGCAAGTCACTGTTAAAAAGTGAGTCATTGAACCGAATCATTTAAACGGTTGATTCATTCAGGAACGAAACACCATCATGTTGCTCAGAGATGCAAAACAACATTGTGGCTGTGTTTGGAATTATTTTTGTTGTCGAAATGGAACAAAAACAGGCAATATGGTTTCTGAAACGTAAGTCTCTTAATTAACTTCTTGTTTTTTGAGCTGTTGAAACATTTGTAATCATGGTAATTTTTGGAGAAAGAAACAGTACTCTTTGTGTGATATTGATTAACTATATGAAATTATATAAATTTTCTTTCCCCATATCTTGAATTTTGTGATCATTCTAAATGTATTGTAATAGACTGAATCATGCAGTGAAAGAACGCACTCTAAATGCGCACTAGTTTAGACTGTTGCTCAGAGATGCAAAACAGCATTGTGGCTGTGTTTGGAATTATTTTTGTTGTCGAAATGGAACAAAAACAGGCAATGTGGTTTCTGAAACGTAAGTCTCTTAATTAACTTCTTGTTTTTTGAGCTGTTGAAACATTTGTAATCATGGTAATTTTTGGAGAAAGAAACAGTACTCTTTGTGTGATATTGATTAACTATATGAAATTATATACATTTTCTTTCCCCATATCTTGAATTTTGTGATCATTCTAAATGTATTGTAATAGACTGAATCATGCAGTGAAAGAACGCACTCTAAATGCGCACTAGTTTAGACTTCACGTAATGTATGTGTGCGCTCTGTAGGGGTGTTTTGAATGGTTTTTGCAAAATACTCGATAATGTCAAATTGCACATCGTTAAAACAACAATTATGATGTTATCGCAGACGATATATATCGCACACCCCTAGGTCCAAATGTACGTTAAAGCGACCCAAGTTCAGAGCAGATGCAGACAGTTTTTGTGGAGCAATTACTGTGAACTGAGCCGCTCTGAAATGCTGCACATACCAGTGGATAATGAGCTGCTCACGTGTAAATGAACACAGTGCTGCACAATTAATCAATTTATAACTGAAATTGTGCAGCACTGTGTTCATTTACACGTGAGCAGCTCAGTGCTCAGCTCAGCCCTACTTGCAGTGCTGTTTCAGAATCTATTTATTTGCTAGTGCTAATATTGGAATCACTTGCGAGTCAAGTCTCCCATGCACAGTTTTTCATTTGTTTTTCAGGTTTTATTTCAGTTAGCATGCTGCCTTGGATGCTAACTGCTTATGCTGTCAGTAGACAGCAGGACGGCTTAGTAGACACACTATCATATTGTAGAAGTTCATCTCTCCCAGTTATAATGCTTTCATTTTCTCCTTAACCTAAAATACCGTGTAACCCTTGATCTATGTGAGTGAAAAATAACAGGCAGGGCTCCATATAAAACAGTTTGCTAAGCCAGCATGTCATTTTTGCTGGTATATATCTGTGTTTTCGGTTCATCCAGTCCCTCCGTCTCACAGTCTGAAACCCAAGAACAAAGGCAGCAGAACATTCATGCTAAACGACTCTGTCTTTGTACTCCCTCCATCAGCTCAATGTGATTTATGAAACACAGTTACGAGATGATTCACTTCACAGCAGGCACAGTGAGGGAGGACGACTCCTTTGTTGTCGTTCACCCCGTCATCCAAACACACACGTATGGAAGAGTAGATGGACAAATGACAACAATTAAAGGGATAGTTCATCCAGAAATGTAAATTCTGTTATCACTCACTCACCCTCAATCCTTTCATCTGTTGAACACAAAAGAAGATTGTTGGTAACCAAACAGTTGGCGGTAGCCATTGAGTATCATAGTCTGGGGAAAAAATGTATATGGAAGTCAATGATTACCGTCAGCTGTTTGCTACCAGTGTTTGGAACAACTTGATGGTTGTTTAAATTTTTGGGTGAACTATCCCTTTAAGCAATTGTTATATAGTGAATATAGTCACTGGTAAAAGATCTGTGAATGGCCACTCTACACTTTGTGCGCCATTGACTTCCATTCATACGCATTCATAAATGCAAGTTCATACAAAGAATATCACATTTCACATGAACAGTTCTCATGAACAAAGATATATGACCAAAACAAAAACGATACGTAATGTATCATTGTATGCAAGTATATTGTATGTTTACATTTTAGATTTATTATTATTATTTATGACTTTATTTTATTTTTAAAAAGATATCGCAGAGCGTGATGTCATATCACAACCTTTGCAATGTTCTTGAAAATTTTGCATGCTCAAAGTCTAGTGTGAATGAAAAATGTAAACTAGTGTAAATAATTTGGTCACTTTATTTGGAGCAGGACTCAGTGTCGCCCTCTGTAGGCCAGGCTCTTGAAATTATACTTCATGGAAGTGAATAACATAGTTAATCAAGTTATCACAAAATATATGTTATGTGATCAACACACTGTACATCATCCCACTAATTGTTGAATAATTATCTAAATAGATGTTGATCTAGATAGATGTTTTAGTTAGCCGTGTGAGGGCGTGCTCTGTGTGTATTCTGAGGCAAGGCGCTGTGGGAATGTGCTGAGAGGGACTTTGCCATGAGATAGGGGTGTGCTTTTGTGTAGGTTGTACCGCTCACACTACTGGAGTGTGTTTATCATGAAACCCTGATAGACCAGTATGGACAACCAGTTTCATGTCTGTAGTCACAACAACAGCCCATCACACAAAAATACACCTTGCACTGTGCACATTTGTGCCCAATAAAAAGCTCATCCTCCACTAAGTTATTAAAACCTCTGACTGGTAACAGCAAATCATGATAATGGTACAATAAACCAGTGTAAATTTTGGAAGGTTTTTTAAAGTACTTTTATTTTTAATTTAATTACATTTAGTGAAGTGACGTGTGGCGACGCATACTCAGAATTTGTGCTCTGCATTTAACCCATCCAAGTGCATACACCCGAACCCGCGACCTTCAGGTTACAAGTCCGACTCTCTATCCATTAGGCCACGACTGCCCCTTTAGGCATTTCTAAAGAGTATTCAGTTTGGTTCTGACGTACAGGCGCACTGCAAGTACTGCTTTTTTATGATTTATTGTGCTTAAACCATGAAAAACTCACAAAGCAATGCCAAAATGATGGCAGCTTAATTTACCTGCTGTGTCATTAATGTTAAAAGATAAAATCACTCATTGCCCTTGACTGAATAACTTGTAGCTTTAATAAAAATACTTTGTTCAGTTTATGTAGTGTTTATATCTTTGTTCTATTGTATATGTTCTATTGCTTGTAGTTCATTGTGTTTTATTTTATTATTGACCCTTTATGTGTATTTTTTACTTCTATTAGGCTAGTATTATGTGGAATGTGTAATTGTGAAATTTCAGTGTCATCTAAGATTTTGGCATTGTAGCCAACCATATTTCCAGTGAAAACAACTATACTGTCTTTCATACAGTGTTATTGTGAAATTATTCATATTCGTATTTTGGTCATATCACCCACCCCTAGATATATTTCTCTTTCCTGTCATCTCTGGGTTGCAAAGGAAGTTGTTTAAATTCATGCTGACAAGTGTCATTTTGTGGGGCTGTGACATAAAAGTACTAACTGTATTTAAAAAAGAGATGATTCATATTGTGGAGTCTGTAAGTGACAAGTCAAGATGGGGTTCTGTACTGAATGTGTTTAGCAGTGCCCTCTTTGTGTTAAACATCATCATTACAATCTAGATGACTGATTTCTTCTTTAATCTTGACCATCAGGGCTGGAAAAGTCAGAGAGAACAATCCTGAGGGTTTCCTGTTTGTCATCACAGCCAGTTTTAACTCAATGAAGTAAACAGAGCTAACCCTCTAATGACTCTCCTAGTTAGCTAAACAACTAAATGTCCGGCTTGTTTAAAAGTGTTTAACCGGATTGTTCACTTTTCTGTCTCAGATGGAGGAGAGCTGAAGGGCGGTTTGCCAGGGAAAGAGCCACAATCATCAGTCACTGGACTTGGCTGCAGGCTCAGATATCAGACCTGGAGTACCGCATCCGACAGCAGGTCGACATCTACCGCCAGCTCCGCTCCAGCAAGGTTAGCAGACGCTTGATGTCTACTGTGTTTGTGTTATAAGACAAAAACAGCATCCAGGTTCAGGAATGTTTGAAATTGGGAATTAGTTTAATGGAATTTGGCTGTGTATAAAGGTGTTTTCTTTTGCATGCTCTCTGCAGGGTCCTGTGGAGCTGGGAGCCTCCGCCCATTCCTGCCAGAGAACTGTAAATATGACGGAGACTAATGAGAATGTCCCGACCTCAGAAACATCCCAGAATTTCACAGAATCCCAGTCTCGCTTGGTGGACACATCTGAGAACGACATCTCCATTAGGTTTGGACTATTTTAGTAGTTAATATTGTGTCTGTGTAAATATTTGAACTTATTATTAGTATAAGTTGTTTCCATTTGTTAACATAATGTAATAACTGGACCCAGTTGAAATTAAGTGTCTGTAACTACTGTGTGCTCACATTTAATCATTGGATTCGATGCACTCAGAGCCGATCCTCTCTATATGCAAAGTATGCAAGCTGCGTAAGGCCCCCAAAACACCAGGGGGCCCCCTTGCTCTCAAAGATGATTTAATTGGTTTCATTTTTGAATTTGGCCAGCGGTTATGAAAACATGAATGTTAATTTCTTTTAATGCGGTGCGCTGTCGCCTTTTCTACGTAAACATCAGTCAAATCATGTAACGTTAATGTCATACAATCTCTTGCTCGAGACAAAAAAGACAAACAACAATTTGAAAGAGTACCGAGCCGTGGAAGGAGACACTGTTTCTCAAGCGCCTTCCGTGAGCGCGAGTCGAGACGGAGTGAACACGGACAAAAGCGTTTCATTCATTCATAACTCGCCCCCCCCACCTTTTGCGTAGGGCCCCCAGAAGTCTAGGATCGGCACTGGATGCACTCATTGTGTGGATTATATTAGATAAAGTTTTTTTCTATAAATTTACCCATTACAGTACATAATAGGGATGTAACGATATCAAAATCTCACGATACGATATTTATTGCAATATTTAAAAAAAAAAAAAAAAAAAAAAAAGGCAAATGAAGAATTGGAAAAACAAAAATTTTTGTACATTTTGAAGTTAAATTATTCTATCTAATGTACTTTGCGAGTTCAAAATTAAGAGCTCCAACGTGTATATATATATATATATATATATATATATATCGGTGTTTCCCACAGACTTGCACTCTATGTGTGGCGGCTCTTCCCCTGGCGGAAATATACATGTATATAACGTAAATATAAAACAGCAGACAGGCTGATTGAAAATGCAAATTCACTCTCTGCCAGCAGGAGGCCTTTAGGAGCACAGAAATAGCGGTTTCCCCGGTAACGTCTGTAATCAAAGCAGCGCTGCGCTCATGAACTGCTACTTTATCAGCCATTATAGGAAAGATTAAATGAAAATTACATCAAAAATTTTCTGAAGACAATTGGTTCCCTTCAAAAAATATACATTTATATAAAAACACCCGATTTTGATTTTGAAACGTGCAGTGTTCATGTTCATGTCACGAAGTCAAAGCCTTTTGGAAAATCTATTTGTGGCAGTCAGTGTTGATATTGTGGCGGGCCGCCACAAATAAGTCAATGTATGGGAAACCCTGTGTGTGTGTATGTATGTATATATATATATATATATATATATATATATATATATATATATATATATATATATATTAACATTATCAAACATTATTAGTGAAGTATAAAATACAGTTAACCTGCCATCCTTGCAAAATGAACTCGGGGTGAATGCAGTGGGGTCTTGTATCACCATGGAATCATATTATTCGTTAGCTTGGCAAAAACTGGATTTTACATTGTTTCCTCTTTTTCTTATTTCAGTAGTGTGGCAGAAGTGTCTGACACATGCTTGTCAAGTCTGGACAGCAGCTGTACATCCGCACGAACACGCCCACTGCTAACCTGCAGGAGACGACGTCTTATCCACCCGAACACTGTCCACAATCTCAACAGCAAGGTGTGTTTGTGTAAAGTCTGTTGGTATGAATGTATCAGTATTCCAGGAGCACATTTTTGGCTGATTTTGAAGTGTATCTGAAGTGAGCTTCATTCCTTTATCAGTTTCAGAGAGTGTCTTTCTCACCTCCAAGCGTGTGCGAGGTCAACGGCTTGTGTGTCATGTGTGACAGTGCTCCTCCCCTCTCCAAACCAGACTTACCGTTTAATCGCCCTCTGCTGGAGAGAGTCGCACATCAAGACCGCAGCATCCACCCTGTTCTTTCCATGCAGTCGGGTGAGATGCACAGTCAGATGCAATTAGAGCTAACAACTATTTTCACAATAGATTTTTCTGCAAATATACAGTGTGATTTTATGTATACAGTATGGCGATATCACTGTATATAAAATGGTTTTACTATATAAAATGATTTTAAAAAGTGTATATATTGTGTATACATATGTATGTTTTTTAAAACATTTGATTATTTATAGGCCTATATATATATATATATATATATATATATATCTGCTGGAAAATTGAAAATGATGAACTGGCCCCCTCAAAGTCGCTCTATTTGGTTAGCTTATTTATTTTTAGATAATAAATAAAATATATGTAAGGAATAATTGACGACGGGCCGTTGAATTCTTGGAAAATAATGCACACCCGAGGTAGTGATGCAGCCACGACGTCAAGTGTTTTTTCTACTTAAATGCTTTTGAGATGTAGTGAATTTGCTTTCACCAATCTAGGGAGGCGAAATAATGTAGTGATGGGTACTCACGTCACCAATGACGTTATGATTTTTGGATTACGTGTCACTTAAGGTGTGGTTATCAGTACATCACATAAGAAAGATTGGTGGGATCTCCAATTTGTAGATTTTATTAACAAAAGATAGACAAGAGTAATGAACAACTACTAAATGAATGCCATAAATGAAATAGGAATAAAGTGCATAAGATGCATAAAATGCAAGTGATTATGTTGGGTGTTGCTTTGTCAGAGCTACGTTATCTGGAAAGATAAACTGTTGCTACTCTGAAACAAATAAGGTGAAGCACCTTATTATGCATTAAACAAATACGTGAAAGATTATTTATCAACTGCAATCAGTTATATAACATCTAATGTAAATTAGAAAAATCATATACTGATAATATACAACAATGCCAAGGTCTCTGGAAGAGGTTTGGATAAGTGATATTTACGTTCTCTGCGATTGAGTGAGCAGTCCGGTGGCGGTGACTTCTTCCACTGGTTGTGCTGGTAACAATGCAGTGGGGAAAGGAGCAGGAATCTGTTTCAACAGCCTTGAACACAAAGCATCGTAGGATGCTGATCTCCTGGAGCACCAAAGGGTCCTAAAATCTGGAACACGCAGATGTGGCCCTGGAGTAGGTGCAGAAGGTCCTTAGCCTGGAACACGCAAGAAAAAGTACCTTGAAGTGAAGGTTTGCTAGCCGGAGCTTAACCTTGTTGCAAATGTCTGTGTGTCTTCTGCCGCTCTGGGCTAGAGACTCAGAACTTGGTCAATCCACTTCATCTCACCAGGATGGAGACTCGGGACTGCTGCATCGGTTGTTGTCTCGCTGGACGAAGACTCTAAACGTAGAATATCTCTCTTCTCGCAGGCTGGAGGCTCAGAACCTGGTCGTATCTGTTGCTGCCTCACAAGCTGGAGACTCAGGACTAGGTATCTGTTATTGCTGCTTCCCGCATGGGCCAGAGGTTCAGAACGTTAGTGTTTCTGTCTCTCGGGATGGGAGACTCAGAACGAGTGTATCTGCTAGTGTCTCACCCTTTGTGCTGGTAACAATGCAGTGGGGAAAGGAGCAGGAATCTGTTTCAACAGCCTTGAACACAAAGCATCGTAGGATGCTGATCTCCTGGAGCACCAAAGGGTCCTAAAATCTGGAACACGCAGATGTGGCCCTGGAGTAGGTGCAGAAGGTCCTTAGCCTGGAACACGCAAGAAAAAGTACCTTGAAGTGAAGGTTTGCTAGCCGGAGCTTAACCTTGTTGCAAATGTCTGTGTGTCTTCTGCCGCTCTGGGCTAGAGACTCAGAACTTGGTCAATCCACTTCATCTCACCAGGATGGAGACTCGGGACTGCTGCATCGGTTGTTGTCTCGCTGGACGAAGACTCTAAACGTAGAATATCTCTCTTCTCGCAGGCTGGAGGCTCAGAACCTGGTCGTATCTGTTGCTGCCTCACAAGCTGGAGACTCAGGACTAGGTATCTGTTATTGCTGCTTCCCGCATGGGCCAGAGGTTCAGAACGTTAGTGTTTCTGTCTCTCGGGATGGGAGACTCAGAACGAGTGTATCTGCTAGTGTCTCACCCTTACAGGCCGAAGACTCAGAACGGTGTATCTGCTATTGTCTCTCTGGATGGGAGACTCATCTGTTACAGTCCTTTCCTTGACTCAGAACTTCGGTGTTTCTGTTAGTGTCTCTCCCTTTCGGGACTCGGACTTGGAACAAGGTTGTAGCTGTTATTGCCTCTTGGGAAGGTACCTTACTACCTTTATCTCTTTCCAATGAGGAGGGGATTGCAGTCTGGCACTTCTCCATTTCCAGGCTGTGATTGGCTGTTTCCATCAGAGTGGCCCACCCTTCTTTCCTTATTTGCATAGTCTAAACACACATTTAGAAAAGTGTCACTAAAGTTTTACCAATGCATCATTCACTTACCAAACCACAACTAGAATACCTTTGGCAATGTTACGAACACATTAAGTCCGAACATGATGGAAGAAGATTGAACTGTCATGCATGCATTCATTTGTTCATTAACAGCTGATTTTGTGTTAGATGTTGCACTACACGTCGCTGTCACTGAGAATACTTATTTCTCTGAATAAGTATGAGATGGGTGTTGCAGTTTGCACCAGTTTAAGGTTTGAGAACATAGTTATGAATGAGTTTGGATGGAACTCTGTGATCTCTCTCTTTGTTTCACCCACTGCTGCTGCGTTCAGAGGTCCTAAGCAATTTTTATGGCGGTCACAGGCCAAAACCTGAGGAATCAGTTTGTTGGTCGGTGAAGGGCAGAAACTGCATTTTGACCAATAGGAAGTCCTGTCCTTCCCGGGCTTTGTACCAAAGGTCTCCTTCTTGCCCTCTAAGAGGTGTCTGGCTGTTGTCCTGGCATCTTTATCTGATGGCATTGGACAGTTTGCTTATGTTAGTCCACCGAGATCCAATCAAAATGTAGCAAACCTTTGTCCACTATTGTGGTCAGAGAGGGGCCCCGCCATAAACTGGGTCCTGGAATGTGCTGTCCACTACAGAGAGTAGGATTAATTTCTTCCGCATCTCATCCAATGCCTCTGTTGCTAATTCCAAAACGTCATTTTAAACCTAGTAACGGAGGTTTGAGTTGTTGATAGCAGAATAATGCAGTTAATAACTAAGTTATCAGAGAGAGAGAGAGAATTACCTGCGAGTCTGTGAATCTCTTAAAAGTGTTCGGCAGCAGTGTCTCTAGTAATAGTGAAAGTTTAAGTTCATTTTCTTCACGAACAGCTCCATTGTTGTTAGTCATGTAGTTTTCAAGTTGTTAAACTATCTAATCGTGATTAATCGAATCTAAAATAAACGTCTTTGTTTGCATAATATATGTATGTGTACTGTGTATATTTATTATGCATGTATAAACACACACATACAGTTTATATTTTGAAAGTATATACATTTATATTTTTATATTATGTATAAATATATTTAATATATAAACATGCATGTGTTTGTATTTATATATACATAATAAATATACACAGTATGCACACATATATTGTGTAAACAAATTTTTTTTGGATGCGATTCGCGATTAATCGTTTGACAGCACTATATAATATAATATATATGTATATGTGTGTATATATATATATATATATATATATATATATATATATATATATATATAATATAGTATCATTGTTGTCAGAAGTTCACCATTCACAGATTCTCAATTTTATTTATGAGTTGTTCCAGTCCTAGATTTGTTAAAATTTCATAAATTGTAATGATTCTGTCAATAAATGTTTTTCTCCTTTCCTCCTCTGGTTTTTCTGTCAGATGTTGCCCTCAGCTTACAGTTGAAGAAGGTCTTGAGATCTCATTGGCAGACTCGTCCGTTTGACAGGATCAAACCGCTGAAGAAGATCTCTCTCAAACACAAGCTCTCCATCACACCTTCCTCCTCCTTCCTCTCTAAACACAAATTCAGACTGTCAAACTCGCATGCGGCTGCAGTCCGTAAGTACACACACATTTCTACTCACAGCCACTGACTGTGACAGAGTGACTGAAGCCATTCATTATTCATTCTTTCTCTCTGTCAGGGTTGGCCCGTCACAAGAGCAGGTCGCAGAGGCTGCACAGGCTGCAGGTGGACAACATCTTGTGTGTCCCAAAGCTGGAAACACTCACACCCTGCAGGCCGGATCGTGTACTGCACCAGAGTCACAGCAGGAAGAGGGTCAGAGAGCATTCACTGGACAGAGCAGACTGTGAGTGCAATGCTTTCCATACAAACATGACCCTAAATATGTCTTAAACGGCCTGTCTAATGAATGCTTATTTCAGCTATGCAGTTACTGACAGCAGCATAAAATAAAGCATGCGGTAATAAAATCCCGTTTCAGTAGACTGAGGAGCACCCAGGGTCAGATATTAATGGGGGCTTGGGGCAAAAAAGACACCAAAAATTAACGCAAGATACCAGGGTAAATAACGCCCCTGTACAATTAAACTGAAACAGTCATGACTGACATGTTGAAGTGAAATGTGAACATAAAAAGTCTTGATTATGGCATTACATTTAGATATTGTATTATAATAAGCATTCATCAAGGGCATTATATTTTTTGTCAAAATATTGCAGCCCTATCCTGTAATGAGCTCTTGTTTTTTAACTTTATAATTTACTTTATGTAGGCTATTTAAAATGATATTAATCTCATACCTTTATGCCATGTCGGATGCAGCTCTTGTGCCACCTTTGCAAGTCAAGTCACCTTTATTTCTATAGCGCTTTATACAATACAGATTGTTTCAAAGCAGTTTTACAGTGATAAACAAGGAAATAGTGATTCAGTGATGCAAACAAAAAAATTAAATTCTACCGAAAAGCTGCTCTAAAAAGACAAGAGTAAATAGTGTAAAATTACTTTTGTTCATAACATTGTATTGATAAAATACTGTAGTATTCTGATTGATTGAATCAATTCATTCATGAATTGATTGAAATATGGTCTCTTAATGCATTTTTGACCGTGGTACCAAACAGCTCAGTGAGACCAACACACCATCAACACACCATTTAATTTGAAATTAAAGGCACAATATATGTTTTTATTTTTTTAAATATCCAAAAACTACTAGAACAGTGTTATATATTTTGCTGACTTGTGTACTTACAATTATCCCAAATGTTTCGAAGAATGTTTAAATCCAGAGAAATAAGCTATTTTAACTAGTGACACGGACCCGTGTCCATAGTGTCATTGTGTCGCCTGCCAATGACCTCATAACCCCTCGATTTCCGTTTTAATATGTTGTGCATTTTAATAGACCGGTGACGATCGCACAGAGTAGCATTATAACAGAACGTTCAAATGTATCTAGTATGATAAAACAGCGCTGATTTACCCCACATACGCACGACCGGAAGGAAGCGGTTGACTGTGGCATAATAAAAGCCCTGCTGCTTTCGAACCGTGTGTCACGCTTGTTCAGCGGCCTCGTTTCACTTCGACGGCTTTCAGCCTCACCCTGCTTCATTCCACGTTAATAAATCATTAGCTCATCCATGAACATGATTTCTGCCCGAGTTCCGTCGGATTGCATCGGCTGTGGGGATGAAGACCACAACTCCCATGATTCCACACTCAATCACCTATGCCTTTGATTCTTTGTTTATTTTAAATATGCACCCTCTAGCGGCGAAAAATTACATATTGTACCTTTAAATGGTCAATAAGCACATATGAGTGTCTTATATGTGTATATATCTTTTAAATTTTTCCTTTCCTCATATAGCACCAAAAGTGGTGATGGATGCATGTCCAAGTCCATGTGCGTCTCTGTCCAGCCTTCATTCGTCCAACACCAGTCCCTTGACCAGACAGCTCTCCCTCCCCGTTGAGAGCCGCACTCCTCTGGGAAACAGCGTGGTACGTTCATTATTTTCTGTACAATAGTTTTGGTCTGAGCCAAAAGCGTTCTTGACATGTGGCACAGTTAAACTTTAAGTGACTTGAGTTTGAATCCCAGCTTGTGGGACAGCCACATCCCCCTTCCCCCTCCACTTCCTAGCCAATCAAAAGTATGCTGTCTAATATTGGCAAAAACATGCCAAAATAAATCTTTGTGCAGTCTTAAATGGTTCTAAACACATAGGGCTTAAATTTAGGGATGAAAGAACAGGAATCATAATATGTCCTAATAGTGATTGTTAAACTTTATATTTAAACAAATGTCAGCATTGTACATTCAAAATCAGAATACGGTGCTCTTGTCAGGATTTTAAATAGAGCTCATGTGTTCACTTTTCATTTATGTTTTAAACAGCCCGTTCGGAGAAGAAGAGGCGAGAGTCCGTTTGATATCAACAACATCGTCATTCCAATGTCAGTGGCCGCCACCACCAGAGTGGAGAAGCTTCAGTACAAGGAAATTCTCACACCCAGGTGTGTCTCCGTCACTCACAGCGCCTCCATTAAAGCTGACTGTATCAGTTGATACACAAATTTATAGCCCTAAAATGATTAACATGATCGAAACGCTCCGAAAAACCTGTTATACACAATCTACTACATGCTTTCTGCCATCTGATTGATAGATTAGACTTTTATAGCAATTAAAGTTTCAGTATAAAATTGAGGTGTTTTCCTTCTCAAGTTTGAGCTCCATATTCTCACTATCATACTATATGGGTCATAAAATCCTGATGTATCAAATATGATACTGAACAAAAAACACACATGCAAACATTTTTTTTGATTTTGTCTAAAGGTTTAATAAACTTTTCCATTTCAAACATCTGCTCTACTCACACTTATTTCTCTGTTGTTCAGATGGAGGGAAGTGGACATTTTAGTCAAACCATTGGCAGAGGAAGACAATAACATTCCGGTATAACAGCCATCTGTTTTTTCCTCCACTCATTTCCCATATATTCTAATTCAACCTCTTGTCGATCCTTATTTGTGATGTGACCCAATGATTCATCCGTGTAGGTGGAGGACCTTTCAGAAGGAGCGTTCGCTAAACTCCACCAGACGTTAGAGGATCAGGAGCGCTCTCGCTGGCGATGGACGGCTCTCGCACCCGCCAAGAGGAGAGGCAGCAGGTACCTGCCCTACTTGATCTTATCAGACAACGTTTTTCCTGTTTTGTGAGTTTATAGTTAACCATGTCGTTCCACAGGTCCTATAAATCACTGGACGGGCGAACGACACCATCAATAGTGGGAACGAACCCTTCGACGCCTCAGCCCTCATCCCCAGACGCAAGTCACTTCCACCTCCTGCAGGACTACGGGCTGGTGCAGTCACCCCTGAGCCCACCCAGCCCCGACACGCCGTGCTCCCGCGACGCACACACACCTCACACCAGAGACACACACAGACTGTTGTACAGCGAAGACACGTGCGGCTCCACTTCAGACTGCACCTTTGAGGAGATGGTAACATACACGCATTCTCACGCCAGTTTCATGATCATCATCCTGCTCGTTTTCTCCATAGAAAAAAATGTAAATGAAAAAATGCGCTTCTATTTTACATCCTGCTTTCTAAAGAGCAATCTATTGTAAGCGCTAGTATTTCTGGAAAAGTGTTTATCTTTTTTGTCTTTGTCTCATCGCCACAGTCGCAGCTTAATCAATTAAGTGAACATTTTTACCTTTGGTTAACATTTAATAGTGGGTATGAAAAATATAAAAATGGACTTTCAACTTAATACAATGTAAAAAAAACCACTTTAAATAATTCAAAATAATTATTAATTTTTTTGGCCTTACAGGAACAGTGTAAAAGACAATTATTTAATTTAGTAAGATTTTGAAGCATTGTTTTTATATAACATAAAACAAAAAACATGTGTCTATGGATGAAAATAAACAATTTAGTCAAAAGTTTGTCTTTTCAAAAAATATAGCAAAAACAAATTATTTAAATCATTCTGTAAATTATATAAATATTACAATTTAAAATGACTCTTTTCTGTTTTAATATCTTAAATTCCTGTGATCAAAACTGAATTTTTAGCATCATTACTCCAGTCTTCAGTGTCACGTGATCCTTCAGAAATCACAAAACCAGTCTTAAAGGGTTAGTTCACCAAAAAATGAAAATTAGCCCACAAATTACTCACCATCAAGTCATGGTGTATATGACTTTCTTCTTTCAGACGAATCCAGTCGGAGTTATATTAAAAATAGTCTTTGATCTTCCAAGCTGTTTAATGCCACTCAGCGGGTGTTGCATGCATCAGTCCAAAAGAAGTTAAATAAAAAGCGCCCATCCATAAAAAAAAGTGTCTCACATGGCTCCGGGCGGTGAACAAAGGCCTCCTGTAGCGAATCAATGTGTTTTGTAAGAAAAATATCCATATTCAAAACGTAATAATCACTTTAATGTAGCTTGCGCCAACAGTTGTACACGGAAGCAGTTCCGGGAGGATGACGTATGAGGTCAGCTTTTGCGCATGCGCCGCTCAGAAGTGATGAACGCAGAAGCGCAGCAGAGAGATCAAAACAAAATGACAGTCAAGAATTAGAAGTACAAAACGGGGATAAGTTAAAAAAAGAGATTTCGATATAAGCCAGGAGGAGACTGGTTTTCTTTTGCTAAAGTAAGGAAACTTTGCTTCCTTTACTCCTGTTAACAAACATTGGTTTTCACGAGACTCACCGGCACATGCGCAATGCTGACCTCATACTTCATCCGCCCGGAGCTGCTTCTGTGTACAACTGCTGGCGCAAGCTACATTAAAGTGATTATTACGTTTTGAATATGGATATTTTTCTTACAAAAACGCATTGATTCACTACATAAGGCCTTTATTCACCCCCCGGAGCTGCGTGAGATGTTTTTTTTTTATGGATGGGCGCTTTTTATTTCACTTCTTTTGGACTGATGCATGCAACACCCGCTGCCTGCCATTAAACAGCTTGAAAGAACAAAGACAATTTTTAATATAACTCCGACTGGATTCGTCTGAAAGAAGAAAGTCATATACACCTAGTATGCCTTGAGGGTGAGCAATTTGTGGGCTAATTTTCATTTTGGGTGAACTTTGGTGTTAGTATAATAACAGTATTTTATATATAATATATTTTATGATATTTATATTTAAAATTAATTGCTTTTTTGTTGTTAGAGATCAAAACTTAACTCTTCAATGTGTTTTGTTTTATAAAATGGGAATGTGGAAATAAGAAAATACATACAGAAACACCATTTAATTTCTTTACTACAAATTCTATTCTTAACACCCTGTGTTTTTTTTTACCCTGACAGACGGTCCAGCCCTGGGAACCCAGGAGTTTTCCTTTACCTGAGGACCCGATAGTGGAGCCCGAGACGGACAAGAGTCAACCGAGCTTTCCTACAGGCCTACAGGAGTCAGAGAGCGACGCTTCAGAGCCGTGACGATCAACTGATTAACGACCTTAAAACCACACCTCCTATGGCATTAATTGAGAAGAAAACTCGTACTAATCAAAACAAACAAACAAAAAAATCTGTCAGGACTTCTGTTGTTTGATATTCAAACATCACCCAATTATTTTCACAGTTTTTAGTGAATATCACCGAACATAGAAAGCTAAACCTGTCTTCTAAAACTCTTTTCTCAGAAGAAAAAATGTAAACGAGATGTATGAAAGTTGTTTCCATAAATGTTTTCATAGTCAGCTAAATATATCATTGGGACTTGGTGTGGTATTCTAACCTGTCAGGTGAACACTATGTAGTGCACTGTGTAGCAGACTTAAGAGGGCTTGACCAAAGGGTGCCTCTCTGCTGACTTCTATATGTATGCTTGTGTTGTGAAGTGACAAACCAAAACCCAACGAAAATACTTGTCCGTGTTATTCTCGATTGAAGGTCACGTTCCAATCTCCTCAGTTAAAAAGCACTTCACAGGGCGTCAATATCTTGCTCTCTTCCTCGACCCTCCCTTTTTAATAATTTCCCACCAGCATATGGAGTGTGGCTATGCTGATGGTCATGGCATTATGTATCTCAATGCTAATGGAGAAATTGCAAGCTCTGCGAAACGAAGCCTTTTAGTGCACATTAGTTTAGCTCTCACACTTGGGCCCTTGCGTGTTCCAGGCTCCTTCTACATCATCTGTTGAGGTTGTACTTTGTATTCCTTCTGAAAGGAGCCAGATGTTTCACACAGACCTGCCCTTCTCAGGTTATGCAGTTGTATGGAAACTTGTGTTAACAAGGCGTCTGTTTTTCTTTCACTTTGTCGGTGTGACCCCATATTAGTGTTCTTATTCTGCACTGTCGCCCCTTTGAAAATCTACTTGCTATGCAACTCAACATTATTGTTGTGGCCCTGTCCTTTTTCTTTTTCATACAATCACAATTGTCTTTTTTAAATTTCTTTGACGTGTCTTTCTCTTCATAGCTGTTTGAGACAGGTTTCATTGTAATTCAGACTGTTTCAGATGTTAAATCATTTGCAGAAAAAAAAGAAAAGAAAAAGAAAAACACCCTTTTGTAAATAGTACCATTAAAACAAATCAAACTCCATTCAGGTTTTACGTCTCATCACTGTGCTGTAACGATAAAACAACCAACCGTCTTGAGAAGACTCTCCGACTGGGACGAGGTCATGTTTTCCAACGGTAAGATGTCTTTCTTTCTTTTTTAGACTTTTTGAGTAATATTTATGTTAAATGGACATTTAAATGGCTATAACTTACTGACAATGTTTTAAGGTGTCAATGCTGTTTTACCTGAAAAATAATTTCAAAAATCGAAACTGCTTTTGATGATATACATACCCTTAATGACACATCATCCGATATTACAAGAAATTACACATCTTTGCGAAATTTAATAGCTCCTGTTTGTCTTTATACTTAGTTAAATTAAATTGAAATGTTTACTTAGGTTTACTCTTTTAAAATATTGTTTACTCTAATACTGGGTTGGGGAAAAAACATTTTACACTTATATTTTATGTATAAATGTGTACACTGGAAAACAGATTTTTTTTCATATTTTTGTCTCAAATTTTACATATACATTATTTAGGTCAGGATATACCCAGGCAGCTGCATTGGGGAGCAAGGGGTCTATTTTTGGCCTACTTTTTTGAAATGATGAACACAGTGAGACCAAAAATATGTATTAAGAAAGTGAACTGGGTCAGTTTTGATTTCATGTTCATTTTAACAAGGAATCCTTAATGCTAAATTTTCCTTCGAAGCCCTTTGAATTCTGGTTTAAAGGAACAGTTCAGCCAAAAATGAAAATTCTGTCATCATTTACTCACTCTCAAGTTGTTCCAAATCTGTACGAGGTTTTTTTCTTTAGCGGAACACAAAAGATGACATTTTGAAGAACGTTGGTAACAAAATAGTTCGGTAGCCATTGGTTTTTTGCCATACTGTAAAGGTCTATAAATGGCTACCAGCAACGGTTTGGTTACCAACATTCTTCCAAATATCTTTTTATATTCCGCAGAAGAAAGAAATTCCTACAGGTTTGGAAATTGAGGGCGAGTCTGACCGAATTTTCATTTTTTGGTGAACTTTCCTTTTAAGCCAGATAAGTCATAAAAACAAAAGTATCAGGCCATTTGCTTGATATCCTTTATTTTCAAATTCACATGTACATCAACAAGAATCATTGTAAACCAGTTATTAATAAAACACACGGAACAATATTGACAACCACAGTTCCCAAGCTAAAATTTACAACTGCATAAATGGTGTATGGAGTCAATGTCAACAGGATGGCAAAACTGCACCCAGATCCATGTCGAAGGTGTGCTATAGAGTGAGACATTTAAAGCAAAGGACCGACTGACTTTCTTTCCCTCTTCCTGTCCACTGAACACTCACTTCCCCTCTCATCACAACATCAAAACCGTAACAAGCAGCTTATCCCATATCCAAGCTCTCCCGACCTTCCCAAAACCACCCTAGTCAGAAACCGTTCAGAAACTTGTTGCCAATTCATGTTAAAACTCAGCATGCAGATTAAAATGTTGCAGGCATGGTTTCTGAACTTCTCTGCTTATTTTTTGAAGTCTCTTCAAGTCCTTATATAACCATACAGTCATAAACATACATTAAATATCTAATGGTAGTTACACGGCTTCATCTCCAACACAAAGAAACAGGGGTCGCTGTCTGAGTAGTGCTCTTTTCCACTACTATCTACATAGATTCCTAATAACATCAGCGATTATGGGATATACGCAAGTAGAGGCAACGCAGTATCTCGGGCTGCTTACATGAAATGCATGCAAGGAGCAAAAATCATGTGGAGTGGTTCGAAGCTCATTTAACATTCTGCGATAGTGCAGGAGAGAGAATTTAAGCCATATGATTGGCTGAGGTCATTACATCATCGTTCAGTACAACAGAAGACCTTGACTTAACATTTTACAGCTATAAAGTGGAAGCGGATGATGTGGTCACATGTGACAGATCGAAGTTGAACGGCATGCTTGTGCTCGAGCGACGCTTTCCGTGAAGAATACAATACTTGATATAGTTCATGTCGCCAGAAATGTGCCTGAAGAAGAACAGTTTGGCAATTCATCGCATAAATGATTTCTCAGCTAGAGCTGGATGTCGTAGCGAGAAATGAGAGGAACTGTTGGCAGTATTATGGAGGAAGTTTACAGGTGCATAGGTCGTTTTTCCACAAGATATTTCAAATAGCGTTCAGATTTCTCACATGCAACCTGTTATTAATAAAACAATAACACTTTACGATAACGTTAGTCAATGCAAGTTGAATCAAACAAAAAGAGCAATTTTTATTCCAGGTCAACTTATTTCCTGTTGTTCGTTGTTAGTAAATAAATGTTCAAATGCATTAGTATATGCAGAAATGAACATTTATCGAGATTAATAAATGCTGTAAAAGTATAGTTCATTGTTATTTCATGACACCTAATGCCAACAACCTGAACCTCGTTGTAAAATGTTACCAATCAAACTGTCCAAAACAGCAGACATGTCCATCTTGGTTAAAACACACGGCTACAATTTTATGTTTATGTTAAAAAATATAAATGGAAGTTGAAATGTTCTGTTAGAGCTCCTGTTGTTCGTTGTTAGTAAATAAATGTTCAAATGCATTAGTATATGCAGAAATGAACATTTATCGAGATTTATAAATGCTGTAAAAGTATAGTTCATTGTTATTTCATGACACCTAATGCCAACAACCTGAACCTCGTTGTAAAATGTTACCAATCAAACTGTCCAAAACAGCAGACATGTCCATCTTGGTTAAAACACACGGCTACAATTTTATGTTTATGTTAAAAAATATAAATGGAAGTTGAAATGTTCTGTTAGAGAACAAGCAAACAAACAAAAGAGAGGCGTTTTCAATGAATTCAAACCAATCATTTAAGACTGCCCACAAAAAAATTGTTTTCATTTTATAAACATCCCATATTCATCCACAGAATAATACTGTAAGAGACGTTTCCTCATTTTAGACGTGAAGTATAATCTCTGATCGACAGCACATACGAGAGATTGAAAAGAACTAATCAGCTTTCTACACAAAGCTGCTACGCACCTGTCTTTCTTCACATAAGCCTTGCAAATCATTTCAAACACAAACTCTGGGGCTTTAAGTGTCTTTCTTTCTCAAAGTCAAGATACGATGCTCTAATTTTCATTTTAAGCACTGCTAAGCGACTTATTCATAATCTCAATCTAATTTTAGCCTGATTTAAAAATGAGAACAATCCTCTCTGAAAGTGAAAATGGGTTCTGTATGAACTGGCCTAAATCCAGTGGTAACCAAAAAATGGCATGCGTAAGGAAATATATAATGGTCAACAAAGCCATACAAATACATGAACGTAATTTTGTGCTACTAAATACAGTCAAGGGAGGGCGGTCGGAGGAAATTTCCAATTGTTCAAATTAAAAATTTCCACCGTGGGCACTGCCTTAAAGTGAAGGATGAGGCAAATTCATACATAATTCACAGTTCAAACAGCTTCATTGGCCTATAACAAATCTTAAGTATTACAAAATCGAACAGTGACTGCCAAAAGTTACTTGGCTTTGTTTTCTGGGCCACAAAATGACTTTCAGAGAGAGGTTAGAATACCATCAGGTATGCGGAAGGGATGGGGTTGGGGGGGCGTGGTTTGGTGGCGGTATGGTCCAATCACAAGCCCTGCTTGGCCAGCGATGCAGACACCTGGTCAGCGAGGGTGGAAAGCTGCGGTGGGTCTGCCATGTTGATGCTGCCAGAAGAGGAGACGGTGCTCAGGCCATGTGGCGACTCCTCTAGAGACACGATTTCTGCGCCATGGTCGGTTCGCGCTTTGGCCTGCTCACGGAACATCAGTTTGTGCGACTCAATCTGGGTAAAGTAAATATATATGAACGAATGACCGCAAATGAAACCTCTGAGGTGAAATGGAGAGCATCCAGCGTTGGTTTATGTTGGCTCAGAGCAGGCCTGAGATTCTTGGATGGAGATCCAAACCTAATTCTGGACTGAATATCTAATGCAATGGTGCTATTTCCATAAACTATTTCCTAGGAGTATTTGAGTTTCTAAATACGGAATAATTCTAGATGAGTATATTTGATTTAATTTATCGAGTACCCTCAAAATGCTGAATAATAATATGCTTAAATGATCAATGAATAAAAAATTAATCAAATAATAAAAAAGGCATAAGATGGCATTAAAAGGGACAAACGAGCAGAGAAAAAAAAAATCATAAGAAAATAAACGAAATATCAAGAACTTTTTTTTTTAACAAGGTGATTATTTTTGTCAGTTGCTTTTTTGTAATAATGATTTCACATCACTCTATGCCAGTAGATGGCACCCAAGATGCAGTTCACAAGATCTTTTTGAATTCATTCATATGAAACATTTTGTCTTTGTTCATCTGCCAATGTACACAATTTATTAAGTGATTTCTTATTTGCAAATGGATTTATCAAATGATGATGATACGGAATAATTCTAGATGAGTATATTTGATTTAATTTATCGAGTACCCTCAAAATGCTGAATAATAATATGCTTAAATGATCAATGAATCAAAAATTAATCAAATAATAAAAAAGGCATAAGATGGCATTAAAAGGGACAAACGAGCAGAGAAAAAAAAAATCATAAGAAAATAAACGAAATATCAAGAACTTTTTTTTTTAACAAGGTGATTATTTTTGTCAGTTGCTTTTTTGTAATAATGATTTCACATCACTCTATGCCAGTAGATGGCACCCAAGATGCAGTTCACAAGATCTTTTTGAATTCATTCATATGAAACATTTTGTCTTTGTTCATCTGCCAATGTACACAATTTATTAAGTGATTTCTTATTTGCAAATGGATTTATCAAATGATGATGATGATTATTATTATTGTTGTTGCCATTTATTTATTGATTTAATTTAATATCGTTTTTTTAAAGGCAAGACACTACAGGCAAAACCATTTTGTTTCATACACTGTTCAATTTTGAGAATTTGGCCTAATTTGCTTTTAAATGCTCATTTGTGACCCTGGACCACAAAACCAGTCATAAAGGTCAATTTTTTTAAATTGAGATTTATACATCATCTGAAAGTTTGTTAGGATAGGACAATATTTGGCTGAGATATAACTATTTGAAAATCTGGAATCGGAAGGTGCAAAAAAATCTAAATATTGAGAAAATCGCCTTTAAAGTTGTCCAAATGAAGTTCTTAGCAATGCATATTACTAATCAAAGATTAAGTTTTGATATATTTATGTTAGGAAATTTACAAAATATCTTCATGGAACATGACCTTTACTTAATATCCTAATGATTTTTGGCATAAAAGAAAAATTGATAATTTTTTTGGCTATTGCTACAAATATACCCCAGCGACTCAAGACTGCTTTTGTGCTCCAGGGTCACATTTTATTACACGCACATCTATCTATGTATTTGTTTTTGTTTGGTTTGTTGATATATAATCCATCTAATATATATTGAACATTTTATTCTTCAAAACAAACAGAAAATTTAAACATATAATTTCAGAAAAATTGTAATCCAAAACAACTATTCACCTGTAGTGTCTCCAAATATATGACAGTAAAGTTCTAGATAGTTTGATGTGGATATCTCCCCCTCTTTGAATACTTACTGGAGTCCTCAATCTTTATCTGGGGGTTGCTGAGGAGGATGGGCTCTGGGGACATACTGGCAGATGAGAGGGTGGGGGTATCAGAGGGGTCTGGGGTGACGAAGCCCTCATCTCGGGGCGTATCTGCCCCTCTCCCCTTCTCTCTCTAGAAACGTAACCCAGGGGGGCCAATGGGTGGTGAAATGAACAACATGGTCAACCAAAACAGAAGGAAACACAAAATGATATGGGTTCAACAAAAAGGAAAATGATGGTAACACAAAACTAACTAAATAAATAAATATTCAAATTAACGATGAAATATGTAATGCTTATATTTTTTAAATCCCGGTTTAATATGCACAGATATTTCTAAGCAACACATTCACTCTGAAGCTCACGGAATCCAAACAAAGGACAATGAGATGAGATTTCAAAGAAGTTAAATTAGTTCAGGGGATTTATTTAAACCTGATCTTCTAAGAACCAAATGATTCAAACCCAGAGATCACCCGAGACAGATCTACACACGCATGGTTGTAAAATGATAAGGATTTATGAATGCTCTTATTTGACTTTAGGGTGGAGAGTGAATAATTGGAGTATCATATCCCATCAGTGGAGGACATGTCGTCTTACCCTCCTGCTGCCTCCTCCAGGTGTGTGTTTGATGTTTTCCATAGATCCCACCTTTGACTGAGCCTTGAATTCAACCTTCTCAGACCTGATCTCAATGTTTCCTCCACCTTGAAAAGGCAGGTGAAATTCCTCATGATTTAACTAAATTGAATGCATAATTATTTTCAAGGCCAAGGTTTGAGCTGTGGTTGCGTTTGGTATCTAAAATCCAAGGTGCGTGATTTACCTGGTTTGTGGCGGATGTTGTCTTTCGATCCGCACTTTGACTGTACATTGGTCAGATCAATCTTTTTGTGGAGGATTTGGACCTTTTCAGAACAAAAAACAAGGGTTTTTATTATTCTTCCAGGTAATTATAAAAGATTCTGTTTAAACACACTTTCACAGATTTACACAAGAAAGAGAAAAAGCTGTTAACACTTTAGTTTAGGGACAAATTCTCAGTATTAAATAGTTGTTTATTAGCATGCATATTGGCTGCTTATTAGTACTGATATAAAGCACATATTAATGCCTTATTCTGCATGAGCATATATTAGAACCCTTAATCCTACCCCAAACCTAAATTGAACTTCCTAAGAGTAGCTACACGTAGGCAAAAGTCATAGTTAATAGTTCGTTAGTATGAGAATTGGCTCCCAAAGTAAAGTGTGACCAAAGAAACTTGAGAAAATGCCAGACAGTTGCAAAAGTACAACTGGTCAGTAAACTTTAGAGTCCCCTGAACGCAAAACACCCTCTTGGTGGTTCAGTCGTCTCTGAGAATATCATTTTTAAAACCAATTTGCATTAATAGAGATGTGATCTAACCTCAAATGATGATGAACCACAACCCCTTCGTTATTTTAAAGTCTTCACTGTAGACCACAGATTGAGGAGACAACATGAGAATGGTACAATTGTGTACCATCCTTGCTCCCAAAAATAGAAGCGATGACCTCATAGCCACAGCTGTTGGGGGTTTTTTTCTGTATAAAAAGGCCTCAGTGTCTTCAGGGTGAGGTCAGCTCTCAGCTCTAGCCAACTGCTCACCACAAAGCAGCACTCGGCTGACCAGAGCGCTACAACAAGAGCCCTCTGTGCTAAAGAGCTGATGTCCTTCAACAGAAGATGAGAGCAACTCATCTTGAGTGCATAAGTATCTCTATGGATCAGCCGCTGGTACTTTTAATGAGTGTTCTGGCTGTCCTTAATGACAGGCTGGTTGGCATCAGGTCATCTGTTTTTGTAAGGAGACAGGCTTTCCTCAAAGTCAAGATCAGTCTTATAATTATATAGAAAATGGAATTATGGGAGCTTTCTGTTTTGAGTGCAGTGGATTGCTCTGAATGTTCTTCCGAGTAAATGCTTAAAGGGGTCATATGATGCTTTTTTAAAGATCATTATTTGGTGTATTTGGTGTAACAGAATATGCTGACATGCTTTAATGCTTCATGCTTCAAAAAACACATTATTTTAAAAATACTGTACATTATTGTAGGTCCTCTATGCCCCGTCTCTCTCAAACGCGTTTTTTCTGTATAAAAAGGCCTCAGTGTCTTCAGGGTGAGGTCAGCTCTCAGCTCTAGCCAACTGCTCACCACAAAGCAGCACTCGGCTGACCAGAGCGCTACAACAAGAGCCCTCTGTGCTAAAGAGCTGATGTCCTTCAACAGTCCCTCCTTCAACAGTCCCTCCTTCCGACAAGCGCAGTCTGCTCTGATTGGCCAGCTGACCCAGTGCATTGTGATTGGCCGAACACCGCAAGCACTTGTCGGAAATGTAACGCCCCTTACCATAATCGAGCTTCATCTTTCAAAATAAATGTAAAGACAGAGCCCGAAAGGGGAATAGCGTGTCAGACACAGTGATAAATATGTGTTTGCAGTACACAAGCCACGGTTAAGACAGCTGAGTCCACTGTGATGTCTCTCTCTCAAATTCAATTCCTCTCTCTCTCTCTCTCTCTCTCTCTCTCTCTCTCTCTCTCTCTCTCTCTCTCTCGCGCGCGCGCACACACACACACACACACACACACACACACACACTCTCGATGCGCAAAACTCACTGTTATGTGACCCCCCCCCTCTCTCTCTCTATCTCTCACTCTCTCTCTCTCGCTCTCTCGTGCTCTCTCTCACACTCTCTCTCTCTCTATCACTCACTCTCTCTCGCTCTATCGTGCTCTCTCTCGCTCGCGCACGCACACACACACACACGATGTGCAAAACGCCTCATTTGAACAGTCACATTTGGGCGGCATTATGCTAATATTTCCACATAGTGATGTAGATATGTGGGGGCGTGTTAGAACGAGCCGTTTTAGGGGGGCGTGGCAGAGTCTTAACTTTGATAAAGAATATCTCTTTGGTTTTGAGACTTTAGTCTTTGCAACTTCAGGGATCTTATCTATGCACAATCAGCTTGTAACACTCCAAAGAGAAAGGAAAACTTGAAATCGCATCATATGACCCCTTTAATATAAAACAAAATACATCAGTTCTATACCCATTTAATTGTAAATGCTCATTTGCCATATTTCTACATTTAGAATAAGTGATTTAGATAAATGTAATCTTTAAAAACACTAATGTTTTAATAAATAACACTGTTAAATGTAATCTTAAAATCTTTCATATTGTACATTATGATGATGTGATGCCAAAATTCACTTTTAGCATTTAAAAGCATTGATTTTATATTTTATGCATTTTAAGCGATTGATGGGTTATTGGCCAAATTGGCAAATTAGTATCAGCCACAATTGTAATATCGGTGCATCCCTACTATTAAAGTCTCTTTAGTATGATTTTTGGTTAAACACCAACAAACGGGCCCCTGTTTACTCACTTTTCCACCTCCAGGTAAATGTTTGATATTATCTTTGGAACCACATCTAGACTGCACGCTACTTAAGTCCAACTTCTGATCGAGAATTTGAACCTGAAAGAGTGAACAGTTTGGGGAAGAGAAGGAGATCTGTATTTTTTTATCTCGGGACCAGAGAGGAACCCAGAGGCTTTTTAGACCATGAAAGTGCAGGTGTTTGTGACTTTGAGAGGGTAGATAGAACGGGGTGTTTCCACAAATGGTCATAACTTCAGGAAGAACCAAGACTGAAGGTGTTGAGTTCAACCCATTGTTACTCACATTGCCACCTCCCGGTACATGGCTGATATTGTCTTTGGAGCCACATTTTGACTGGACATTACTAAAGTCCAACTTCTGATCCAATATTTTTACCTGGAAAATCAAGTTGGGAAGAGCAGGAGTTACCTTTCTAACTATCTTAGAGACAGAAAGAACTGCCAGTGAGTATGTGAACGATACAGCACAACCATCAATTCACTAAAATAGCTTTGTTGTCTCCCACTCACTCTTGACTTAGGTTTCAATATTCAACAATTGAATTGTAAAGACCCTCTTTTACTGTTCAATATCAATTCAAAAGTGTGAGTAGTTGGTGACTGTGTAACAGACAGAACTACTACATTGAATGAGAGTGTTCACTTTTTACAAGGTATCTACAAATGGTCATAACTTCAGGAAGAACCAAGACAGAGGGTGTTGAGTTCATCCCATAGTTACTCACACTGCCACCTCCCGGTGCATGCTTCAAATTGTCTTTGGAGCCACATTTTGACTGGACATTACTGAAGTCCACCTTCTGATCGAGAATTTTTACCTGAAAGAGTGCAGAGATCACAAGGAAAAGAAGAGTTACCTTTTTTGGGTGAAGCCAAACCAGAAACCTTCTGATAGAACCTAAAAAGTACTTTTACTTATAACATCTGAAGTCATACAGTAATTTTAACTTCATGAGAAGCATCTGAGGAACATCTCAAGTCAGTAAGGGATGGCTGGGAGTTTGATTAGTCTTGATTTCCATCTATCAGTAGTAAAGTAATGAAAGAATAATGGTACATTTAGGAGTATATAGTGTTTTACCCCAACGTAACTTACATTGCCACCTCCAGGTGTGTGTTTGATATTGTCTTTTGAGCCACACTTAGAAGGGACGTTACTAACATCCAACTTCTGATCAAAAATTTGTACCTGTTTAAAGCCAACGTTCGGAAGTTTACAATGATCAAAAATACCAAAATGGTTCCCGGATTCTCATGAAGCATAAAGACATTATAAAGTGCTTTCCCAAAATAGACTTGGAATGGCATATATTTTAGGTTGTATGCACAACTGGATAGTTACCATTCTTGGGAAATGTAACCATTACAATACCTAGAGATAATATATTAGTCAATTCTCACTGTACAGTATAATTCTAAGCTAATATTTGGTAAACAGTGACAGTTTACTGATAATGTTGAGATAGCCAATGACAAATACAGTTTGGTGATAATACTCACATTTCCACCTCCTGGCACATGCCTGAGGTTGCCTTTGGAGCCACACTTGGACTGAATATTACTGAAATCCACCTTCTGATCAAGAATTTGTACCTGTGAAAGGAAGAACATTGGGAGAGTTGACTTAAAAGCTCATTTTAGCGAATTAATTTCACCTGAAATGACTTGCACAGCCAATCCGATTATACATCAAAACTTAAGCTGCTGCCATTTAAGTGTTTAGGTTTTTTTATATATATAAATTTTATATATTTTTAAACTGCCAAAATTTTCCACATACTTCAACATAAAAATTTGATTTTAACGATCTCAAATGTAACTGCAAACAGAACATTCAAGTGAATCAACTCAAAAGATGAATTACCTGGCCGCCTCCAGGCTGGTGCCTCAAGTTGTCAGTGGAGCCGACTTTGGATCGTATGTTCTTCAGATCAGGGAGGGGGGCAGCGGCCGACAGTGATGTGGGTGAGCGGTTCTTTGGAGATTTAGGGGTCGAGCGAATCACTGCGACCTTCTTGATTTCATTTCCTGTGATTGGAGGCTTGCCACCCGCAGCCTTGCTGGCAGGGGATTTGAGAGTGCCGGGGCTGCTGTGCCCGCTGGTCTCCGGGGTCTTAGGAGAGTCTGGGAAACAGTATAGGGTTATGTACATGGCAATAATCTCATAATCAAATCTTCCATTCTTCAAAAATATATACAAGATTCCTTCCTAAAAACTCCTTTGTGAAAGAAACTCGATTACCTTTTCCATTTTTGGCAGCCGAAGTCATGGCAGGAATCTTTGTACCGGCAGCATGAGGTCTACTGCTACTAGGAGCCTAGAGATACACAGAAATATATAGAGCTGTAATTTTCTCAAATTATGCAAAAGCTGTAAAAATATTATTTTAAGGACACAAATGCTATATTTGCCTTAACAAGACAAAGGAGTTTGCCATTTTTATTACAAAAATGTTTCCAGGATATGGATATTAGTCATTTTCACTAAATGACATTGTTAGCATTTCAAAATGGCAATTCTCTAGCAAGATATGTACGCCCACTGTTGAACATTACTGGACAAAAGCACTCATATTTTAAGAAGCATTCATAAAAAAAATAGGAAAATTAATTATTGGCCTAATAGCATGTTTGTCTGCTCAAACATACAGTTTGTTGAAAGCACATTCAGTAATTATGAACCCATCCACTGGAAGCACGATAACAGAGCTGCAGCTGAAGTTATGCAGTACAACCATTCTAATCATGCTGACTATTTTCAGCCGTCAGTGTTGATGCTGTATCCTAAATCAAAATTAACATCAAAGATGTGGGAATGAGATGTTGGTCAGTTAGTCGGAGGAGAGAAAATGTTGCCGTTAATCACAGCAGACAGTGAACAGACTGCCAGTTAAACAGGCGCAAAGTTAAAACACTCTCCGCAGAAGCTACAGGACACGGGGTCCGACACCAGCAGCTGTACTCACTCTTGGCCTGGATTCTTTGGGCCCAGAACTGGTGGAAGACACTGAGGGAGATCTACTAAAGGAGGTCTTTTTCGGGATGGAGGAAGGTGTTTTATGGGAGGAGGGTCTGACTTTACTGTTTTTAGGGGTCTTTATATAAAGAGCAAAATAGTAGATGGAGTACAAATAGCGACAGAAAGCAAAATAAAAGGCAGAAAATACTATAATGAAAGTGGAAGAGAACAGAAATATTATGCCAAACAGCTATTGGCACTCACCCTCTTCTCAGCATCACCATTGGTCTTGGACTGAGCTGTGAAGGACCAAAAATGCACCAATATGAATACAACCAGTATATCGGAAATATCATGTGAATAAATGTGTTGTTAAACCTAGTGAGCTGCCTAACCATTACTAAATCACTACTAAACCTCACAAGAGACTAATCTGTAACACTAGAGACTCAACTCACAATCGATTTCAAAGCGGTTTAATGTTAACATGTTGCTAATAAATAGGGTGACCATATGGGCCATTTTTACGGGATGCACCCTTACCAGGATTTCTATATTGCCTAAAATATCCAGGTTTTGGCTGTTAGCACTGTGCAGATCAATTGTTGTATGACATTATTTCACGAGAGCTATAGAGAGTAGAGCAGACGGCTCCTTATGCTTTCAATTTGCTCTCGCGGTACTTTGGTGTCATACAATGATCGGTGCGCAGCTTCAAGTCGAACAAACGAACAAACAAACACGTGTGTGTATTTGCATTGCTTTGATCGTTCTCACCTTCTCACACGCGACGTGCCACAATTGGTCGATTATGTACAATCCCTGCATGTTATTGGTCAAACTACTTTGGATGTTTAAGGCTCATACAATGATCGGTGCGCAGCTTCAAGTCGAACGAACGAACAAACACATGCCCGTATTTGCATCGCTTTGATTCGTTTGAATCGTTCTCACCTTCTCACGCGCGACGCGCCACGATTAGTCGATTATGTACAATACCTGCATGTTATTGGTCAAACTACTTTGGATGTTTAAGGCAATATAAAAATCATGGCCAGGACGTGTCCCGTATAAATGGCACAAGAGGCCACCCTACTAATAAGGCGACACAAATACATAGCACATACAATTACTTAATCAAATGGTTTTCGTTTATAATCAACATTTCTCTCACCTGGCCTGCCATCTTGGATTTAAAAGTTCATCGTAACGCATTTTTATATTGCCTTTTCCATGAAGGATATAAATAATGTTGCTTTACAATTAGAAAGCTTAAATAAAATGTCTACGGTAATGCATATATGCTTCTTTAAAATTCCTCCTTCCTCCGTACACTCTTAAAAATAAAGGTTCTTTATTGGCATCTACCAGGGCGTCCGGGGGGGATGGGGGGGGGATAGGATGGGTCCTCTCGGTCCGTTCACCACGGGGCCCGGTGCGACCGCACCAGTTGTACCCCCCTAAGGATGGCCCTGGCATCTACAGTTCCATCAAGTACCTTGAAAACGCATGGCATCTTTCCATTCCACAAAAGGTTCTTTATAATGGAAAAAGGTTCTTCACAGTAAGAAAAAGTGGTTCTTTTTAGAACAGTTGACCGAAAGGTTCTTTGGAAAACCAAAAATAGTTCTTCTATGGCATCGCTGCGGGGAAAAAAAAACCTTTTATAAACTATTTTTAAGAGTGTAGGACCGGAATACCTTTGCTAAATTGACTACAGTAAGTTTGCTACATTTATTCCTGATCCTTTCGCTCATTTTCTTCAATTGCAAATTTTAACTGGATCTTATGTAATTCTATTGTTTTTAAGAAACAATTAGGAAATGTAAGCTGTAAATGAAAGTGAGGGGTCTGTTAAAGCAGCGCTGCACCAGAGGGTGTTATGAACACATGCAAGTAACACGTTCATGCGCACAGACATGCCAAACTGAATTCATTGAACCACGGCCAGCAAACATAGATTTCATCAATCGGCGCAAAACAGGCTGCAAGACCACCGGAGGGAATAAAAGAATGACAGAGTGAGACTGAGTGCCCAAAAAAGGACGACGTGTAGCAAACAATTGCAGGACAACAGATCGTTCTCCTCAGCACGCCGTTCATTTTGGAGGATGTTCGTTATAGACAGAAAGTGGTGCATAGCTAAGCGGCTCTGTAAAACATAGGTGGAGGCAAACCAAGGAAGAGACACTGCACTGGGATTCTGTGAGCTTATCTGCACAGACCTTTGAACTGAGCCACCGGCACCAGGGATTTTCTTGCCGGGGAGACGTGGACACCTTTTGGAGAGCCAATTGTGCTTGTAGAGGGAGGAGTGGCTTCTGCGATACCGCTGCAATCAACCCCTGATAACATAGCATCGACTTTCTCCTGCACCTCTCCCGTTGCTTCCATGTGTTCATGAGGTAGAGTTTTGGAAACACTATGTTCTTTGGTTTCAAAAGGTGCATATTCAGCGAGAGTCGTCTGAGCCCTGCTGGCCCACGCCGGAAGCGTTTCTTCTTCAACATGGCTCTCGTTGCCGTAAAAAGACAGTTCTTCCTCTTCCTGGAGGGTCTCGCTGTAAGGAGCCCTGGCTTCTGCAGTCCTCTCCCCGACGGATGTCAGGTCTTCCAGGGCTGCGCTGCGGACCAGGAAAGTCATAGGTGGCTCGTTCTCCAGAGACAGGCTCCTGGTGCGGTCTGGACTGACGGCTGTCCGCCGATGATGGGAATGGACCGGTCGTCCAGACCAGCTGCTTCTGAGGAGGTCTTCGTCCTGCTCTAGTATTCGCTGGGGGTCTACACAGCTCCAGTCCGAGTGTTGATCATAACCATCTGATGAAAACCCTGCTGCTAAAGCTGGAAACAAAGCCGCTTTTGCCTGTCACTAATGCACGTCCCATTCACCATGGACAGAGAGTGGACAGAAGATTTACAGAAAGCAAAGACAACATCTATATCACTCTTCTCAAGGAAGCTGTCACATGATAAGGAGGGTCACAAAAACACTTGTAGTGACAACCGTAGAGGAAAGACAATGGGCATAACAAACTGGTTTGCTGGCCTTTGCTAACATACAAAACAAACAGCTGTGATGGAACCGGACTTCACACTGAACACAGAAATATGAGCTGATAGGTACAATTGAAGAGCAAGATTGCTTGCAAAAAGAGTTTTTTAAAAATCTGACTTAAACATGAAGCATGTTGTTTTTGTGCCATAAACCTTGAGAAAAAAAGAAGTACACTTTAGCATACTTCATTTAGTATTTATTATGGAAATGATATCCATTAAAAGTATATCTGTAATGGTTTATTTTATGTTATTTACAATTAAATAAAAATATATTACAGTTTAAATTTATATATTAAATGTAAGAGTTCTTCTTGACCCACTAAATTAAATATTATTTTAATATTTTAAGGCATATGTCATGTATTTGTGATTGCACTAAACTCCAACTTTTTTTTTTTAAATGCAACTTTTTATTGTAATTAAATATTTTACATGTGAGTCAAGACGTCAAAATAAGTCTCCTTTAAGCATGTCAAAAAATTTACTTTAACACTTTTAATTTGAAATTATTACAAAATGTATTTAAGAGTCTTAAGAAACAATGTCATAAAAGTACAGGTTTTTAAAAATATACTTCAAAGATTTGAAGTACACTATAAGTGCACTTTTAAGCGTGCTTCTTTTTCACAAGGGTAGCAATTAACAAACATACATGCCTCCCTTCTGCCATTGGCTGGTTAAAACAGAAACAGTTCCACCCCAAACTTAACTGTTTACTAAATAAACACAGCAACCGTGTTTGCACTGTGTTTTCACAACCAATGAATGCTTCTATACTATTTTTTTCTACATATTTAAGAGAAAAATGATTGGAGTCTGCTCTTTAAAAGCACCTAGTTGCTCCTGATTATTAAAATAAAATGGACATACGGTGTCTCTGTGAATTCACAAAACCAAATAACCAGTACAAGATACAGATCAGTGAGGTGAAGTACTACCAGACAAACTGTTAAATTAAGAAAATAAAAGAAAAAATCTATGAGATCATAATTCATGTAGCATAATGGCTATTCTACAAAGCATGACACTAATATGGTAGTTGTGAAAGAGATAAACAAATAGTACTTTACCTGTAGGCGCTGTTCCTCCAGCTTATTAATGATCAGGATATGTAGCAAACAGAGAGAAAAACATAAAAGACAACATTAGAGAATCAGAAAGATGGACTATAAACACTATAACCTAGCGTGAAATCGCACCATCAATATACACTTCATTTCGAAATCACAAAAGCAACAAATACTTGCAATTATAAAACGGATAGATCCGGTCCTCGATTCTGATTGGTTGAGCCAAGTTCGAAGCTGTTGTAAATTACTCTACAAACATACACCTTTGTTTACATTTGTGTGTTTTTATTTTGTGAAGCCTTACTACGTATATGGAATAACCGTTTTATAAAAGCAACAAGCCCCGTGAAGCCGTGGTTTACAGTGAATTTGTAACAGCTAAGAGGGTTTGGGGGGGGTTAAGGGGGTTTTAACAATGCCCCTTAGCTGTTATAAATTCACTGTAAACCACGGCTTCTTGGGGCTTATTGCTTTATTAAAGCATTGTGACCTGTGAGAGAAAGAGCTTTGGCTGAGATTCTTTTTTGGCACAAAGCATTCATTCCAGACTTGGCATAGCATCACACCTACACTGGCAAAGGCAGCGGAGCTCTCTGAGGTCTTTGTGACTAATCACATGGGAACTAAACGGAGAATGGCGCTGGAGTCGCCCTCGAGTTTGTTTTGATTTAAAAGCCTGAAACCTGTCAGCATGCCTCAGCAGTGATCTCAAAATCAAATTGTGTGCTTGCAGACATACATATTACCTTGTACTTTACAAATCACCCCATTGTAAGCGTAACATAAAAAGGATGTCAAAGCAAGAAATGGCTATTTGAAACAACTGCACCCAAGATGGCATTCTTGTTACCAGTAGGCTCAAACAGAAGCAAATGCATCCTGCAGGCTTTAAATATGCAACGAATCAGAAAAAAACGCTGTAGAAAATGAGAAGCATTAGGATGTAAGGCACAAAGGCATCCACATAAATTAAAGCACAAAAGGGCAGTCAAGCAAAGCATGTCAGTCAAAACAGGCAGCAGTCGATGGAGCAGAAGATCCATACCACTCGCCATTTCCACTAGAGGCTGGCACTGATCTTCTTTCTCTTCCGGTCTTGAATCCTGGGGGCTCTCTATAAAACAGTCATTTGAACAGTTTACACACCAAGCTACTAAAGGAAGTCCAGGTTTACTTGTGAAAGTGAAGCTGCTGTTAAAGTCAAAAAACAAGCCAGAAATGAAAGGTTTAGCTTCACAGCTCAGCTGCAGTGAGACTTTAGTTGGGTTCCAAAGTGCTCTGCTGAAAGAAAAGAACTGGATGGTAAACTCACACAAGCACTATGACTAAATAAATTAAAAAGGAGAAAAGCACATTGCAAACAACCGGAAATGATGGTAGCCTGGTCTTGAAACTCTGTATATTTATCAAGGCATAGTTAGTAAAAGCCATTCCATTACATAAAAATAAATACTTAAATAAAAAAAACTTGGTTAACTTTGTGCTTAATAAAAAAGGCAATTTGAAAGGAAAAGGGAAGACAAAATGCATTTCAAAGCAACTTTATTATAAGTGCAGCAATGCATACCACATTGCTTCTCCTCAGCATTACTGTGCTCATCATCCACCTGTTCTTCTGAAAACTCCTCTGTGAGAGAGAATGGTGGTTAAAAAACACATAAGGCACAACTAATGTGGAGTTATCAGTTGTTCGGGACAATGAGTATTCATAGAGACATGTTGAAAATCTGTCAAGGTTTTTCAATTTGACAGTATTAGTCTTAATTGGCAAAAATAACAAGTTTACACAGGTAACAAGACATTTTTTGTTTTGGTTTGTAAAACCAAATTTTTTTAATTGAATTTAATTTTTTGGAAAAGTATTACGTTTTTCAAGAAATTAATGTCAAACAGCTGGAGCAATCAGTCACACTGTACTGTGACCTCTATGCGACCTCAGTATTTCCCTGCAACCGGATCTCTGAACTTGGTAGGGGGGAAAAATAATTAATTCAGTTGTTGTAAGGACACCTGTAAATTTAAAAACACTGCTAATTTTACTGTCCCAATAAAATATAAGGGGAGAAACAGAGGCCATTTGAATGTACTGGCATAAAAGCAACAACCTGCAGTGCTGGGAAGTAACTGCTTATTGAACTAACAAGAAACATTGTACAAAACATCCAAAAGAAATTTAGCCCATTTAGCTTTACAAAAAAAAACACAGTATAAATCAGAGGTGCGGAACTTTTTACTATGGGTGCTGTGGGCCAAAAGTAAAAGCTGCATTACATCCAACTATTTCATAATAAAATGTACAGTGTAAACATGAATATATGAATTAGAAATGAAGATATGATTCATTGGCATGACGGGCCAAATTAAAGGTCATCATGGGTCAGCACTGGCCTGCAGGCCCTGGTTTGGGCTTCTCTGGTTTTCAAAAAGGCATACTTCAAAAAATAGACTGCATTAAACACTGAATCACATGCACCTCCTCAAAACTAGGGGCATTCTGCTTTGCTAAATGTTACCGTTTGAGTCTACTGCATTTTTGTTGGTGTAATCATACTATTCTTATTTCTTTCACAATATAGTATGTGCAAGTAAGTCCATTTTGATATTATTTAAGCAGACTCTTAAAAGTTAAAACATTTTTACACAAAACTGAATTAACTGCAAAAAAATCCAGGATGATAGCTGATGACAAAGGGATCATATGGATCACAATAAAAAAATTGTTTTTAAATGTGCAATACTTTGAATTCTGAAAAAAAAACAAGTAAAACATGTCAACTTTTTAAACTATAGTTCCTTTCCAGATGTAAACAAAAGGGGGTTTCACACATACAACCCTTTCTGGAAAATCACCTGTAAATGACCACTTAAGAGATCATGTATGAACAGGACCTTTTGAGAAATACTGGTAAATTCGTTCTAGAAATTTCCTGAATGAAAAGTTGTAACTTTGCTGGTAAAATTGCAATTGTCTGCACTGTGTACAATAAAGGCTGGTTCACACAAAACACTTTTTTTTTGTTCCACTGTGCTGCTTTTAATTGTTTTTCTATGTAAACAAATCCAGGATGATAGCTGATGACAAAGGGATCATATAGATCACAATAAAAAAATTGTTTTTAAATGTGCAATACTTTGAATTCTGAAAAAAAAAAACAAGTAAAACATGTCAACTTTTTAAACTATAGTTCCTTTCCAGATGTAAACAAAAGGGGGTTTCACACATACAACCCTTTCTGGAAAATCACCTGTAAATGACCACTTAAGAGATCATGTATGAACAGGACCTTTTGAGAAATACTGGTAAATTCGTTCTAGAAATTTCCTGAATGAAAAGTTGTAACTTTGCTGGTAAAATTGCAATTGTCTGCACTGTGTACAATAAAGGCTGGTTCACACAAAACACTTTTTTTTTGTTCCACTGTGCTGCTTTTAATTGTTTTTCTATGTAAACAAGCACTAGATGACATCTTTGACCATTGCACCACATCTCACTAATTTTTCAGCATCTTGCTCATGAATGTTGAGTCATTTAGGGTTTTAGTCACTTGGAAGTAAAGAAATACTGCCAAATAGTAAAACTGAAGCATTCCTACTCATCGTGTGAATGGTATCTTAATGGTATGTTAAGCTTTTGCTTGTGTGAAAGCAGCTGTTTAATACTGTGCTTCTAGAGCCACTACTAGCTTTACTATCTCTATCATACTCACTCTCTGCTGTGCCATTGCAGTATCTGCCATTTATTGGTGGCAGATGCTCTGAGCAGTGTTTCCTCCTTGTGTGTGGCATTACAGGAAGAGCAAAAGGGGAGAAAGTGTGCACTAGTGAAGGCTGTAAACTAGGGAAATATAAGCCACGCACTAAAGAATGCAGGGGGTCAGAGAGGAAAAAGAGAGAGTGTTATGGTCCCATTTATGGCATGTGTATACATACAACACAACGGAAGACTCTGTGGCAAGCTGGCACCTTTACAAAAGACTGTCAGTCAATACTGCCACTGTGTTTGTTCCTTCCTTCCATACACATGTGGAGTTCAGCGATTGGCTGTGGTTTTAAATAAGTGACTACATTTACAAAACGTTCTCCAAAAAAAAAAAAGAAAAGAAAAGAAAAAGACGGATTTTCCCAGGACTATATTGCAACATCATTCATTTAAAGGAACAGTTCACCCAAAAAAATATATATATTGTCTGAAAATCCCTCAGGTCCATTGTGGGTCACCCTCAGGTCATCTCAGTTTATTCATTTGCTCACCAATGGATCTTCTGCAGTGAATGGGTGCCGTCAGAATGAGAGTCCAAACAGCTGATAAAAACATCACAATAATCCACAAGTAATCCACAGCACTCCAGTCCATCAGTTAACATCCTGTGAAGTGAAAAGCTGCACGTTTGTGAAAAACAAATCCAGCATTAATGCATTTTTACTGTTGTTTCTGCAACAATACCCATAATCAATAATAATGCTTCCTCCAGTGACCAAGTCCATCCCCTGTTGTCTTCTCACATCAAAATCCACCCACATGTTTGTTTAGAGCTGTTTTGGCTTGTAAACGGTGCTTGATCTATGCATATTTCTCTCCCGATTCAGACAAGATTTTTTCACTGGAGAACATTATGGATAGAGTGGTGTGGATTACTTGTGGATTATTGTGATGTTTTTATCAGCTGTTTGGACTCTCATTCTGACGGCACCCATTCACTGCAGAGGATCCATTAGTGAGCAAGTGATGTAATGCTAAATTTCCCCAAATCTGTTCTGATGAAGAAACAAACTCATCTGCATCTTGGATGGCCTGAAGGTGAGTATAGCAATTCTTTTTATTTTGGGGTGAACTATTGCTTTAAGAAACTATGAAAAAAAAAAGACGGATTTTCCCAGGACTATATTGCAACATCATTCATTTAAAGGAACAGTTCACCCAAAAAAATATATATATTGTCTGAAAATCCCTCAGGTCCATTGTGGGTCACCCTCAGGTCATCTCAGTTTATTCATTTGCTCACCAATGGATCTTCTGCAGTGAATGGGTGCCGTCAGAATGAGAGTCCAAACAGCTGATAAAAACATCACAATAATCCACAAGTAATCCACACCACTCCAGTCCATCAGTTAACATCCTGTGAAGTGAAAAGCTGCGCGTTTGTGAAAAACAAATCCAGCATTAATGCATTTTTACTGTTGTTTCTGCAACAATACCCATAATCAATAATAATGCTTCCTCCAGTGACCAAATCCATCCCCTGTTGTCTTCTCACATCAAAATCCACCCACATGTTTGTTTAGAGCTGTTTTGGCTTGTAAACGGTGCTTGATCTATGCATATTTCTCTCCCGATTCAGACAAGATTTTTTCACTGGAGAACATTATGGATAGAGTGGTGTGGATTACTTGTGGATTATTGTGATGTTTTTATCAGCTGTTTGGACTCTCATTCTGACGGCACCCATTCACTGCAGAGGATCCATTAGTGAGCAAGTGATGTAATGCTAAATTTCCCCAAATCTGTTCTGATGAAGAAACAAACTCATCTGCATCTTGGATGGCCTGAAGGTGAGTATAGCAATTCTTTTTATTTTGGGGTGAACTATTGCTTTAAGAAACTATAATCTAGTTTAATTACACTATATGCTAGAACGACTGAAGCAATCACAGTAAAGAATGCCAGATGAAGTCAAGAGTTACTGAATAAGACAACTGTTTATACTTTTGGTGGAGCAGTGAATGAAGGGTTTTCAAATTCGCTCAATGTCCATCGATTGTGCATGCCTTCCTTTGTACACTGTTGCCTTACTTTTTCTGTAACCCAACTGAGAACCAATTTCATTACTGTGTGCTTTTCAAAAGGCTAATGGTCCGCAAAAAAAAGAGATAAAAACACAAAACCTCACACACGTGCAGAAGAAAGCAGGGTGTGTAATGGCATTGAATTAGTACCAACGTCCCGAGAGGAGGGTGACCCACATGCCTGGATTACAGCGCGACGCAGCTGCAAAGCCTGGATTGAGGGCCCAGTCAAGCATAGCCTTGTGGTTTATGTAAGGAATTAAAACACAAGGCTGTATCAAAGAGCTGCTTCATCACTAAAATATGTATAAATAAAATATGTATATGTATAAAGATCATATGCCCTGCAATGTCTTTGATCATTTGATACATTTAATTTGCTCATGACGGGAGGAAACACGTTAGCGGTCATGCTAATTGATGCTCTGAGGGATAACACATATGCATGTATGCCGTATCACGGTGAATTCATGTGCTAATGAAATCATTAATATAATCTCATTATATAGGCACATGTGCAAATCTTTCTCTGGTGTATTATACAGAACAGCATTGTCTGATAATATCGTCCTCTGGCAGCCAAGATATATCTGATTTTGCCTGTCATTACATTGCCCTTGTAATATTTAATAGTGTGCATTACATGTAAATAGATACTATTTATGATTATTTCATCCTTATTGGCTGTGGATCTTTTACACACTCATAAGAACAAATATTTTGGCTCAACAACATTGAAAAATAATGCAATAGTTTGCACCAATCTTTTTGAGTTATGACAACTTTCAACCCGATCTCACGGCAATTCGTACATTTTTTGACAAGGTGGCTAATTCGTAAGAAGTCCTACAACCTCACTCTTATGAAAAATCATACGTATTTTATGAGGTGGTAAATTCATACACTTTACCCTGCCCCTAAACTTCACAGAAATCGTACAAGTGAGGTCGTGCAAATTTGTATGAATTAGCCACCTTGTCAAAAAATTTACGAACTGCCGTGAGATCGGGTCGAAAGTTGTCATAACTCAAAAAGATTGGTGCAAACTATTGCGTTATTTTTCAATGTTGTTGAGCCAACTACAATGACTTGTAGCATAAACTAGCACCATAAATATTTTAAGTAATCAACTTCAACAATTTTGTAAGTTGTTCCAACAAATTTAAGCATAATTGAGTGATGGCCATGGAACCAACTAATCTTATCTATTTAAAGCTAACACATCACAAGCTAACTTTTGCAAAAAAAAATTAATATTTGAGCTCACATGGCTCATACGTAGCCTTTCACAACTTAAACGAAAGCACAACTTTTCAGCATAATGGTAACAACAAAAACTTCATAACAGAAACTCTTTTAAATGTCAAACATTCAAACACATCAGCATTACACAATAACATGTCTTTCCATTCACTAAAAAAACGCATTAAATACCAATTCAACATTTATTCTTCTTATCGAGTTCTACGCAAAGCATGATGAAAACTAGAAATCTACTGCCCAATTCTCAAAGCTATCGAGGCAATTTCATCAAGTTACTAATCATTTTTTAAAAGGTTGAATTAAATAAATAAATGCATGTTGGAAAGTTAAAATTTTAATTTATTTAAAGGGACAGTTCACCCAAAAATGAAAATTTTGTCATCATTTACTCACTCTTATATTGTTTCAAACCTGTGTGGGTTTCTTTCTTATTTCAAATACAAAAGAGATTTAGAATTTTGAAGAATCAAACCGTTAATGGTCCTCATTGACTTCCCTAGTAGAAATACTATGGAAGTCAATGTGGACCATAAACTGTTTGATTACCAGCACTCTTCAAAATAACTTCATTTATGTTCAACATAAAGAAACTCATACAGGTTTGGAACAACACGAGGGTGAGTAAACGATGACAAAAATTTCATTTTTGGGTGAACTATTCCTTTAAGTTGTGGTAGAAGGTCCGCTGCATGTGTAGACCATATTCCATACCAGTATGTCCTTCAAAGACAATTAAACTTGTCCTTCAACTACATGTGAATGCTTTCATGAAACATACACACCCTGTTCACACTGCAGAGCTTGTTTAATAGTTCTGACTAATCAGTTAATCAGTATGTGTGTGTATTTATTTGGACCGGCTGTGACACAACCAACCTGTTTTCCTACAGAAGCAAGCTCACCTTTCATTGGACAGTCCCCTGGTCTCACGAGCCCCACCGCAATTCCATTCTCCTTATGGAATTGGTTTCCATGGTGATGATCGTTGATGGTCATTCCAGAAAGGGAGGTTGCCATGGTATCGCCAGAGTTGTAGTGAGCTGTGTGGCTATTGGGCGAGGAACTCAATAAATCGTGCTGCTGGTCCATAGCAAGTCCAAATGAGGATACTGAAGGGGGAGGGGAGGACGGAGGGTAAAGGGGTAAGAGAGAAAAGAGCGAGAAGGGTGCAAAAAGAAAGAAAGAAGGGAAATGAAAAGGAATAAGTTAGTGGATGCACAAGAGAAAAGCAGTTCAAAAAGCTTTTGCCTGGCACTGATTGTTTTGCTCTGATTCCTTGTGCCAAAATTATGGTGGCCCAGTAGTGCACAACACAACAAAATTTCCACAACATAACGAAATCGCCACAGCACAACAGAAATAAGCTGCAACACAACAAAATTAGCACAACACAATGGAAACAAGTCGCAACACAATGGAAACAAGCCGCAACACAACGGAAACAAGTCACAACACAACGAAATTAGCACAACACAACAGAAACAAGCCTCAACACAACAGAAACAAGCCTCAACACAACGGAAACAAGCCTCAACATAACAGAAACAAGCCGCAACACAAAGGAAACAAGCTGTAACAACGGAAGCAAACCGCAACACAACGGAAACAAGTCACAACACAACGAAATTAGCGCAACACAATGGAAACAAGCCGCAACACAACGGAAACAAGTCACAACACAATGAAATTAGCACAACACAAAGGAAACAAGCTGTAACAATGGAAACAAACCGCAACACAACGGAAACAAGTCACAACACAACGAAATTAGCACAACACAATGGAAACAAGCTACAACACAACAGAAACAAGTCGCAACATAACGAAATCACCACAGTACAACGGAAACAAGTCACAACACAATGAAATTAGCACAACCCAACGGAAACAAGTCACAACACAATGAAATTAGCACAACACAATGGAAACAAGTCGCAACACAACAAAATTAGTCCTATGTGTTGTGATGTGACGATTTTGTTGTGTTGTGTAGATTTCGTAGTGTTGTGCACTACTAGGCCACCGTTCAAAATGTCTTTTCAGTGCTGACAGAAGAAAAACAGTTATTTCCGTGAAAGAATTCAGGTTGAAAATCCATAATCAGAAACCTCAGAAACAACTGTCAAACCAACCATATGACTTCGGTGAGTCAACAGTAGAGGCATCTATCAACTTTTCGAAGGACAGCGTGGGTTGAATCAATATCCAATCGGCAGGATCCGTCTCTTCACACAGGGCTGTCACAAGCTCAATGTAAACAGAGCCAGAGTGCCGGTGTGAACCTGGATATTTATACTGCCAAACATGCCGAAAGCTAGCTTAAGGTTACTGCCATGTGGCCTAAAATAGTGCAGTCAAGCCAACATGTCCCTATGCACCTCCTGCAAGCCTTTCTGTAGTCACTTTATTAAACCATTGTATCGCACAACGTAACACAGTGCACTTGCAAAACTGCTTTGGTATGTTCTTATTTGCAAGATGAAAGACTCATGCCTTATATGACGACAGACATGTGGCCTAAAATAGTGCAGTCAAGCCAACATGTCCCTATTCACCTCCTGCAAGCCTTTCTGTAGTCACTTTATTAAACCATTGTATCGCACAACGTAACACAGTGCACTTGCAAAACTGCTTTGGTATGTTCTTATTTGCAAGATGAAAGACTCATGCCTTATATGACGACAGAATGTAATTAACAATCGAATGGCCAAATTACAGAAAACATCCTTTTTTCCACTGACCGCAATTGTTGGGACACTCCCGCTTTAGAGCTATGAGGTATTAGAAACCCAAATATTCGCTCATGACTACATAATAATTTTGTAATACTATCATCGCTAATATTGAAAATCCATCCTGTTAGTGGTACTTGTTATTAGGATATTTAGTTAGCTACCCAGCCCAAAGCAGATTATACATGTTGGATATTTCACAGCCATCCTGATGCACTATTCATCCTTTTTTTTTTCTAGAGCATCACTGTTTACTAATATACACATCTTCAAATAGATCAAGTAAACTCTACAGTATAACTGAGTATAACTACAGTATAAGAGTGTGACAGTGGGATCCAAAAGACTTTTGCATTTATGCATTCTACTAATTTTACATTATTATCATCCCAACTGCAGTGAAAAGTTGAACTGACATGACTTACATTTCAGATCATCTTAGTATTTGGTATGCCACCCTTTAATTACTTTAATTACACCAACAAAGCACGATTCATGATCATGTTCTCCCATGTAATTTGGGAATGGGATTGTCCAAAAAACATCTTGTTCTTCAATGGAAGCAAGAACATCAAGAACTCCTTTGTACAAATTTGCTCATTTGATTAGTGACCTAAATAGTGCAGAATCTCAGTCGGTTTATTATTTATGCCATAACTTTCCAAATGTAAATTTCATTTTTGAATCCCTGATGTTCAACATGACATTTGGACCACACTGTATGTCCAATGAGTTTGAGTTAAAAGACCTATTAAAAATATCCTGACTCGACCTAGTTTCATAACACCACAATGCCTCCAAGGGCAGATGAAGAGCACCATCTAACCAGGCACTAACATCTGTTGTCTTTTGTGTGGCGGTGCCTCATTCTGAGAGTTAAATCATAAAAAACGAGCACAGTTGGCTCTCTAATGTTTTTCAGCCATTTTGACAGGCCTAATGCGTCGTGGCACTGTCATGAATGAGACTGACACAGAAGAGAAGAAATTGTTGAATAAAGTCTATATTTTTGTTTTCTTTGCGCACAAAACGTATTCTCATAGTTTCATAAAATTACGGTTGAACCACTGATGTCACATGGACTGTTTTAACAATGTCCTTACTACCTTTCTGGGCCTTGAACGTGTCAGTCATGTTGCTGTCTATGCAGGGTCAGAAAGCCCTTGGATTTCATTGAAAATATCTTAATTTGTGTTCTGAAGTTGAACGAAGGTCTTACGACTTTGGAACAACATGAGGGTGAGTAAATAATGAGAGAATTTTCATCTCTTTAACATGATGGAAATAAAAGCTGTAATTTTGTTATCTGATAACAAAATGTACAGTATATGATTCTGTTTTGTGTAAAATGTCTTAGTATTTGAGCAGACTGCCAAGGGTTTGAGTGTCAAGACCATTATATTGTGGTAGGGATGCACGATATATCGGCCACCATATCGGTATCGGCCGATAAATGCACATTTTTTCTGTTATCGGTATCGGCCCGATAAGAAAATGTCTTAAAGCCGATAAATAATGCCTTCATATAATTTCCTTCAGAGACACTTCAGATGCGCGCTGTTCGTTTGCAGCCTTTTGTGCAATTGTATGTTGTATTATTGTGTTTATTTGATGTATATCTGATTTATCTCATATAGAATGCGTTTGGTTAAGTTAAAAGAGCGCTTCAGTTTACATTGTGGGATACATTTTACCATGCAGTGTGCTCTGTTATATACTGCTTATTGTGGAAGCACATCTGTGTATTACATGCATACAGAAAATGTGCATACTGTGCAGAGTATACAGTACATACTTAGTAGTATGTTAATAAGTCATGGTATCACATAACTTCCAATACATTTTTTTTATTATTATTTCAATAATGCTTTGCTTCTTTCTCCAATACATGAATAATCAGCATGACACGACACTCTGGATCATCTCAATAGTCTGGTTTGAACTTCAGCTTTAAACTAGACTGTATGCTACTAATAGATGCAGATGAATGCTTCCTTGTGAACATACACTTCCCCTTTCATTGAACGCTGTGAAAGTGATAGTTCAAAAAGACGTGGGAACATTTGATTCTTCTCATGGAGTGTCAAGACGTCTCATGAAACAAAGCTCCCACTGTTACTCTGACAGGATGTCAACAAACTTTTGGGATTTTTAAGTTCTTGTCAGCGTGTGTGGTGCTTGTCGTATTGTGGAACATTTTAAACTGTGCTTCAAATGCCAATAAATCTAGTAAACATCTAAAATAGCAATTCATTCTTTTAGTCTTGTTATTGCAAAGATATACATATATGATGATATGCTGAGGCAAGGCTGAAACCAGTGTGTTTGCATCACTGGATATTACTGTTCATAAAACAGTTGTAAAATATTCAATGTTTGGCTACTTACATCTTACCTCACATTTTTTAAAACTGAAGCAAACTGAAGCAGTGAATTCATGTTTGGTACAGCACAGCCTTCTTTGTTTTGATAGGACATCTTGATTAATTTGACATTGACATAAGTACTGTTAGTCAGATGAGGCAGACCATCCTAAAAATGTAACTAAATCTTCTTATAATTTCATATTCATATCCTAATAATAAACAGAGCAGCATCACATCTATCAAATATTGAAGAGGAGAAGCTGATCATTTCTAATTATTTTCTATGATTGTTACGGGCTGCACTGATGTCCAGTAGACAGACAACCTGCTCAACTTTTAATAAAAAAAAATCATTGGTGTTTGTGTGTGTATATAGCAACTCAACAGGTATTATTTGTTATGCAACCAACCAGGCAAATCTCTAATCAGCAGATCTGACCATGTCAAAAACTGCTTGGTTGGATTTAGCGATAAATCCATGGATGGCACCAGGATGTATCTCCTTAGGGTATATTTGCTTGTTTATCTGGCACCAAACTGAAAAACCGCGCTCTCCACTGGCACGCACTGGGCTTATGCTTTAGAATAGCTGAATGTCTGTGATGCTCTCATCACGGATGACTACCCTTGTATCCCTGACCTAAATTTGCTCCACATTGCTATGAAGCACAGTTACTCATGTTCTCTCTCGGCTCTCGAACCCAACCTCCTTTTGGGCAGGGCCAGTCATGTTCGAATTCAAACACAGTCCCATAACAGGGTCACAAAAACGACTCTTCTATATGAAATCCACCAGATCATAAGATCCTTGCATAAGATCCTAGCAGTCTATGTAGAGCCCGATATTGGATTAGATGTCAAGAATACAGACTGTAAATCTGATCCCACAAAATGCACTCTGAGTGCTGTGATGACATAAGCAACTTCTATTATTTCAGTAGCATGTGAAATTATTCTTATGATGAGTCACTCCCTTATGAACTGGGTGTAAAATGATTCCACTGTACTGTGGTGGAAAGACAAATATTCCTTTCAGAAAATGATATAGGCCTATGTTAAATCTGTTATTTGTCTATTACTACTGCAGCCCAGCCCATCAAGTAATAAATATTTTATTATGAAAAAATAATGTAATATTGTATATATTGTATTAATATTTGGACAATTATACAACCAATATAAAAATATATAATAGTCCAGCTCTAATATAAATGCTAAATGTGATTATACGGCATATTACAAACATTAACATTGTGCTGATTTAAGATAATAATTTGTATTGTGAACAGCACTATACCAATACATTTTGTCTTGACTTGGCTTTTGAATTTAGAAATGTATTAAAAAGACATTTATGTAAAAAATATATAAGAAATATTCAGATGGAAGCTCACAAAATGCTCTTGTCATGCAGCATAAGATGGATCATGGGGTTTTGCACCAACTTGTGGAATTCATGCAGCTTGAGTGCTGCTTTCTTTCAAGTAAAAAGAGGATAAACCAAATACTTAAATCACTATAAATTTTTCAATTCATCTATATACTTATGACTATATAATTTGAAATTATTAAATTACTAATAAAATCTTCTATTTCGGTCTCAGTCTCAAGCTTTTGTAGCCCACTTCACATATGCTTCAGTTCATGTCTAACAGCATTCCAGAACAGTCATGCTTAGGTTCTCAGGGCAAAGGACCACGTGGATGCATGTAGACATGGACTTCTGCTCATCATGCTTCTGTCAGAGAGGTAATGGCCTAAGTCTCTACAGCTGCTAATTCACCTCAAACTACACAAACCGCTATGTCTGTTGCAGAAACCCCAATCACACCCTCTCATGCCAGTTAGTCTGAGGAGACTGGTGTTGCAGCAAGCAAAACCCCTCTGTCAGTGCCATGCCAATTAAACACTCATGCAGCACATGAGAGACTTCATATGGCATTATGTCAGAGATTTTATGCTCTTTGTAAGCCTGCCCAAATCACTAAACCACAACAATTTGCTCAGATGTTTTCGTGCAGCTTAGTGACCATTAAAAATAATAAGCGTGCACGGCTAATATTTATAATGCTGCAGCTAAAGTTGATCTTTTTTTTGCAACTGACATATTTACACAAATAGCACAAGCAGCAATCACTGTGATGTGATAAGGACAGAAATTACCCTTTTTTTATTACTTCTTCAGAGCAAAGATAACACTTGTATCTAATTATATAAAGTACATTTGAATTTTTTGGATTCAGTGGTTCGTAATGTTTTATGATTTTACATATGCCATAATAATTGCTTATGCTGAAATTCCCCATTAGTGTGTTTTGGAAATACCCCCCGTTGGTTGGTTTAATTAACTGAACACTTATGAATTAGATTTGACAATTTTAGTGTGGATTATTTATAATGAAAATGCCACAGCTGCTCTTTTCCATCCGACGAATGTGCATGGCAGCCATTGTTTGACAATTTCAGAATTCCTGTTGGGTGTTTTTACTTGGCTTATTAAAAAAATAAATGATAATAATAAAAACTAATTAAAAAAATAAAAAGAATAGATCATTTCACTTTATTTTGATCGTCCCTTTAACACATTCTAATGACTATAAGTAACATTGCCCCTACATATTTACTAACTTTCATTAAGAGTGTTAGTAGAGTATTAGTAGAGTGGTAGGGTTAGGGTTAGATTAAGTTGGCATGTACTTGCAAAGTTATTTATAGTCAGTATTGTCTTGGGAGACTATGACAATAAAGAGTTAGCCGATATTAAGCAGACAGTCTACTAAAACTCTAATGAGAGTTAGTTGACATGTAAGTGCAACATTACTTGATGTCAACAGAATGTTCAAAAGGCACCATCAAAATAAAGTGGCTAATATTTATAATGCTGCAGCTAAAGTTTATCTTTTTTTTGCAACTGACATATTTACACAAATAGCACAAGCAGCAATCACTGTGATGTGATAAGGACAGAAATTACCCTTTTTTATTACTTCTTCAGAGCAAAGATAACACTTGTATCTAATTATATAAAGTACATTTGAATTTTTTGGATTCAGTGGTTCGTAATGTTTTATGATTTTACATATGCCATAATAATTGCTTATGCTGAAATTCCCCATTAGTGTGTTTGGAAATACCCCCCGTTGGTTGGTTTAATTAACTGAACACTTATGAATTAGATTTGACAATTTTAGTGTGGATTATTTATAATGAAAATGCCACAGCTGCTCTTTTCCATCCGACGAATGTGCATGGCAGCCATTGTTTGACAATTTCAGAATTCCCTGTTGGGTGTTTTTACTTGGCTTATTAAAAAAATAAATGATAATAATAAAAACGAATTAAAAAAATAAAAAGAATAGATCATTTCACTTTATTTTGATCGTCCCTTTAACACATTCTATTGACTATAAGTAACATTGCCCCTACATATTTACTAACTTTCATTAAGAGTGTTAGTAGAGTATTAGTAGAGTGGTAGGGTTAGGGTTAGATTAAGTTGGCATGTACTTGCAAAGTTATTTATAGTCAGTATTGTCTTGGGAGACTATGACAATAAAGAGTTAGCCGATATTAAGCAGACAGTCTACTAAAACTCTAATGAGAGTTAGTTGACATGTAAGTGCAACATTACTTGATGTCAACAGAATGTTCAAAAGGCACCATCAAAATAAAGCATTACTGAATAGATTTTAAAAAATGTGCATGATGCCTCTGGATACACCCTACAGGGTTCTTTGAAGGGTCTTGTCAGAGGGGCATGTCTGGTCCTCAGCAGTTACTGTAATCCAGAATCAGTCACCTCAACACAGTCTCATGGCATTTTAAACCATCAAACAGCAAGCAATGGCGAACAAAAAAATCATGTAATGATAGAAACCGTCAACTGTAATTAATGAGGGGAAAAGGCGAGGCAACCCAATAACACAACCATAGAGGCGTGTGCAGGCAATACAAAAAAATCCTCAACTCAACCCCCATTTTAAATCGGATTTCAGTCCACAGGGATGCAATGTAACACAGTGATAATATACTGAAGGTTCCGCATGTGCGAAGCGCGGTGAACACATGCATTATAATCCTGGTTACTGAATGAAATTCTGCATCCCCATGATTAGACAACTGTAGCCTACTGTTGTTGAAGAAAGGCGTCGCATGCCATTATTTGACAACGAATCAGCATTTGGTCAGCAACGAAGCGTAACCACGACTTGTAATAAAAACGAGTCGTCTATCATTTCAGACACAGAGCCACTGTGATGGCTGAATGCAGACACATGAACACAGACGACGTGAAGAGCTGAAATCATGGCCGCATCTCTGTTCTGTAGAGATGGAGGGAGGAGGTGCGTTCCAACAAAGCATCCTTCAATTCACAATGAGCTTGAACTCGCAGACAGATTCGGATTTTTAAGAACAGCCTCATTTCAATGCATATCCCTTTTATATGGAAATACAAATGACTCTTTATAGTCATTGTAGCAGGAATAGCCTATTTAGCCAGTATTAAAATGACACATTGCACGCAACAGCTCTCGCACTTTGCGTTCAGCTGATAATAAAGGAAACGTACAGGAGTAACGTTTTACACGTCTATGGGTTTAATCGTATAAATGACCAGGACAGTATATGGGTATTTGCTGAAAAGTCCCATAAATACCGTTACATCTACGCCTTGTTCAGTTTGAATAATCTTGTTACTATAACGTTTTTTTTTTATGAGACCGGGTATTTTCCCCTCCTAATAAGCGAGTCGGTATTCGAGCGTGTTCTATATTCAGAGCATTAGTTATACCGTTACATCTACGCCTTGTTCAGTTTGAATAATCTTGTTACTATAACGTTTTTTTTTTTATGAGACCGGGTATTTTCCCCTCCTAATAAGCGAGTCGGTATTCGAGCGTGTTCTATATTCAGAGCATTAGTTAATTAACACGTAAGCAGCGCAGGCCCGATTTAACAACATGACCGACGCCGATTTAAAATTGCTACAGGGCACGCATGTTTTATGTTTAATACAAATCACCTTCGAATACAGTGCATGACAACCAGTGGATACACGACTAAATCGCATTTCAACAACACATACGGCAGCTTTGACAGGGTTTTACTTACCTGTGCACGGGTCGCTGTTATTGTCTCTCCAGCTGCAGTCGCTCGCTGAGCGCACGAGAACTGCAGTTTCTATAGCGACCTGATCAAGAGAGGCGGCGCTAGAGAGAATCTTCTGCCTGAGAGAACAAACCACGTTCGACAAAACAAGCTAAAAATGTCTGAGGAAAAATCGAAAAGGTGAGTGTTTAAAAGTAGGCTACATATAGGCTGTGTATTTGTTTACTATAGGTGACTGTATACAGTGTAGGCTATCATATAGCTGCAAAACATCAAACAAAGCGCTATTTAATTCAAATAAAGATAGCAAGACAAAGTAGTAAAATACTCAAAATAAGTTAGGTTCATGACATAACAACTGTGTGATCTGTGTGAACTGACAAAAGAAGAAAAAAAATCAATGACATGATTAAAACACTTAGCAACAATTGCTTGGAAAGCGAACATGGTACTTGAGCTTTACATAGAACTAATTCTTTGCCGAGTCATTCCCGAAAGTGTCTAAACACTTTTTGGGGCCACTGTGTGTCGTACATATTGGCCATCCAAGGAGTAGGCTATTTCTTGCCACTTTTCTCATAGCAGTCATGAGTCTTGTACTGAGAAATCAACTGCTGCGTAATCTCCGGAGATTATTGTACTCTCCAAAGAGCTGTGAGAACGTCTAAGCAAGTTACAGTCTCTCTATCTTCTCACTCTTCTCTGGACATGAGCCCAGGGAAACATCTGTTAGTTAGCCTAGTTGATTTTCCAGATGGGGATTTGTTTTGACCTGGACTTTCCTGTCCATCAGGTGTTTCTTTACATCCTGATCAGCAAAAAATTACAGGTCACTTCCCTAAGCACCTGCTCATAACATGGCACGTAGGTTTTGAGTGTGGATGCCCCTCTTTTTAAATGCTATAGTATAATGTTAGATTTAGACTCATTTATTGTTGAGAACAAAACATTTAAACACAAGAACGATAGTAACAAAGTGATTTGACAGAATACAAATATGCAAATAAATAAACAAAATATTTATTGGTATGTATAAAAGGAGGCACCACTTGCCACCACAAATGAAGAATGACCAACTTGTTCAGTTGTCTTCAACAATTATCACGGACTGTACAATTAGAATTAATGTACATGCATGTGCTCTTCAATTAAACATTTCAGAATGCAGCAAAGGAAATGGTCAATGCAACTTTTACCTGGGCATTTTGTGCATCTGACCACAGTTGAAGTACCACGGTTAACTAGTAGATGGCGGAGTAATGTTTTCTGGAATATCATGCAAGGCTAGATAACATGCAAGAGGGAGGTGCTTAAATGCCTACATAAAGGGAGATAACAAACTTTACAGTTATATCATGTGAAAGTTGAATAATATGACTCCAGTCATAGTCAATACCTTAACATCTGTATTGTACTGAATTAAAATAGTTTATGAGGTGTTCATTTCAGTGCTGAATCATTTTCCTTATTTTGTCAACAATTTGGGATGTAAATCCAGTCTGAGCTCTGAATTAAGCAGGACATTGATCCTAACCCACCCATGAAAAAAGTGACAACAGTGCCTCGTAGATGAAGCCTGTAGTTGCGTTTCAGGCAGTGTTTTATGTTCAGTTTTTCAAATTTAATTTAAAGCACTTTGCTGGCCTGATTGCATTTACATACAATATTGCCAATGCATTATACACAAAACAAGTAGCAATAAGACATTGTAACAGCACCTTTTTTAAAAATATTTTATTTGTTACTGTAATGAATTAAAAGAAAACAATCAAAACATTTATCAAAAAAAATAAAAATACTGTAATACAGTTAGGTCCATATATATTTGGACACTGACACAATTTTCATAATTTCAGCTCAGTATGCCACCAGAATAGAATGAAAATGAAACAATCAAGATGAAATTGTAGTGCAGGCTTTAAGCTTTGATTCAAGGGGTTGAACAAAAATAGTACATAAAAAGCTTAAGAATTACAACCATTTTTATACACAGTCCCAGTACATTTTTAAGGGCTCAAATGTAATTGGACAAATACATATAATCATAAATAAAATGTTCATTTTTAATATTTTGTTGAGAATCCTTTTCCAGGCAATGACTATCTTAAGTCTGGAACTCATGCACATCACCAGAGAGTGAGGTGTCCTCTTTTGTGATGCTTTGCCAGGCCTTTACTGCAGCTGACTTCAGTTGTTGTTTGTTTGTGGGTCTTTCTGCCTTTAGTTTTGTCTTCAGTAAGTGAAATGCATGCTCAATCGGGTTGAGATCAGGAGTGAATCGACTTATCCACTGCAGAATATTCCACTTTTTTTACCTTCAAAAACTCATGGATTGCTTTTGCTGTGTTTTGGGTCATTGTCCATTTGTACTATGAAGCGCCGCTCAATCAACTTTGCTGCATTTGGCTGAATCTAGGCAGACAATATATCCCTATACACTTCAGAATTCATCTGGCTGCTTCGGTCACATCACTGAACACCAGTATCCCAGTGCCACTGGAAGCCATGCATGCTCATGCCATCACACTTCTCCACCATGTTTCACAGATGATGTTGTATGCTTTGGATGCTGTGCCTGAACACACCCTCTTGGTTTAAATCTAGATTAAAGACATCTCTTTAGCCAAGAACTCACATAATGCATCTCAAAACCTTGTACTACAGTTATATATGATCAAATGCACATTAACATTCTTTTGCTTGGGTTGAACAGCAGGCAGCTACACTAATTTTTCTCCATTACCTTCTCCTTCCCGTGGTAACTAGGATTTACACAAGCTTCAGTCTGGATCCAGCCCTTACAAAGACCCGAGATGACTAAACACCTGAGAAGAGATGATGCCAACCCTCAGAGACAACATACAAAACTACCAAATTTTGCTAGAAGTTTGATCGCAACAATCATTGCTGCTGTTAATGGTGTGTTCACCATCTGTTTGATTACATGACATTAACTAACTGCTTGATTTTTACTGTACATCTCTGCCATATGGACATCAACTTGAGATAGTCACCACTGATATGCTACTACTAAATGTAAAAACTTAAACTTTCTGTAAAGCAGCTTTGCAACAATTTGCATTGTGAAAGTGCTAAACAAATAAACTTGAATTGAATTGAGTAGAATATATAAAAAACCTTGCTATGCTAACCGAAACTTGTCATAGCACTTATTTATCTTTCGGTTTGATTGCTTCAATTGTCCTCATTTGTAAGTCGCTTTGGATAACAGCTTTTGCAAAATGACTAAATGTAAATGTAATCAAGACAACATTTTATGTTGACCATAGTGAAAATATTTTATTCATTTAATATGGTGATATTTACATTACAGACTATAAAACACATTTTCAATTGCAACAAATATAAAATATTCAATATTTTGTCAGAAGCCTCTTCAAATGCTTAAATGTTTATTTTTTTACATTTATATTCCCATATTAAGCAGCATGAGCACATAGATCAGTATCTGCAGCAGAGTTGCAGTCTTTAGGGACTACCACAAGACCTTGTCCTCATCTCTTTGTCCATCATCTGCTTGTCTCATCTTGTTAGAAGCGGCACGATCAATGGTATGCTTGTTCCTTAGATAAACATGAACAACTGCAAAACATGATCATTAGAATTACCGTAGTTTATTAAAGGTTATGTGGATTAATATACTTAAAAGGAAAACAACCCTCTAGGTTTAGTTCACCCAAAAATGAAAACTGTATGCCTTTCCAAATCTATACAAATTGTTAATCTTCATTCTTATTTTTGTCCATCCTCTGATAATCTATATGAAACATACGTGTGGTGTGCAAGAACAAACCTCATTGTTTCTTATGCATCACACATGCACTTGAGCTTCTGTGGTCCGTGTAACAGTTTGCAGTTCTTTGTTCAATTTGCACCATCAAAATTAACCAGGTAAAAATTGCCTTCAAACTTTCATTTTACATTTTATTTGGAATACCTCACAAACGGATAATTGTCTGTTTAATTTTTGATTCTACAAGTTTAGGTTACATCCGAATAAGATTTTTTGAACATACATATTCTAATTTTAAATTTGAGTTTTTGCACTCAGGTTTGGTCCATACCATTACCGCCGGGGGAGGATTAGCCTACAGCCAGCAGTGGACCCAGAGCGCTGCCGCTTTGTGTAGTTTATGTGCTTTATGTGTAGGAACATGGCTAATTTGACCAAGCAATAATTTATTGGCTACGTCAGAACTCCTTAACCGTGACTGCACGTTAACCACATTGTCAGAACGATAGCACGGTAAAGTTAGTTTTAGGTTCGATATTCACAGTTTTAGATTAGTTTTAACAATATGCAACCACTTTATATAGACATGAAAAAAATTATTTCAAAACCGCTTACGTGTACTGTAGCAGCAAAATTTAAGTTTAGTTTTCCAGTAGGTAAAATATTTAAGGTAAAATCTGTACATTTGATATGCTTCTGAAAGACTAACCTGGAAAACAGTTCCGTTCATACACCATACACCTTTAAATCGGCAGCTTCCGTTGTGGCCATTGTGACCACAAACAAAGCTAATTCACCTTAAGGAACAAGACAAAAGAAATTAGATATATTCAATGAAAATGGACAGATGCAATAAAACGTTGATCATTTCTCTCTTTTTTGTGGACTTCCATGTTTACCTTTTAATTGAGAGAAATCTAAAAACTGGTTGTCATTAAAGGTGTGAGTATTTTAAAACCATTTCTTGTACCATCTACAAAACTAGTTCAAGTGATTTCAGCTTGGAAAAAGTGGTTTCTGCAGCAGTGTTAGTTTACAAAGTAATAGTGCTTAAACTGCAAGGGAGACAAGTGTAGTTGCAATAAAGTTTGATTTTGCAGCAGGTGTCATTTCATGTGTGAAAAGTTGAAAACCGTCTAGGGCCAGATTTACTTACAACTTGCACTGTACTTGGTCTATTTCCCTCTTGCCCTACTTGTTTTAAAGTCAATAAAAGGTCAGAGGTGGGTAGTAACAAATTACATTTACTTGAGTAAATTTTTTGGGTAACTAATACTTTTAGAGTGTATTTAAAGATGGGTACTTTTACTCTTACTCAAGTATATTTCTAGTGAAAAAACAACTGTACTTTTACTTAGTTACTGTGGGCGACGCTCATCTCGTTACTTTATCTTAATGAAATACAAGTTAAAAATGCTTGCGTTTATTCCAAACGTGCAGTCTACTTTTCTCTTGGCAATGAGCAATGCCCATTTGCGAATGATTCATTTGTTTGAGTCAATTCTGTTCAAAAGCTTGATCAAACCAGTGAATTGGTTTGCTAATCAGTTTGAATGATTCGTTCAGTTCCCTGCTGCATGCACGGAGTTGTCTGAAACGGTTCTTACTCAGAGATGTAACAAAGTTTAAGAATATCAAGAGCATTGAAGACTTGGCTTTGGATCTACAATCAATTGAAAGCAAATCTGCAAAGACTATTGTTTGCTAGCTATGAAGATCTTTATTAGATGAACACAGTGTGTGCCGTCTACGGTTCCACAGGTAGGCTATAGATAGACTACATTCGATTACAGTACACAATCCCACTATGACATTACCAGTTTGTTATACATGTACCTTATGCATTAAATAAGATAAGATGTCACAGTATGAAATGAACACCCGCCAAACCCACGTTAGCGACCTGTTCCAGGAGGAATGCCTTTGCCTAGACACAATTTATATTTTCACAATATTTACACTGGCAGAAATATATATTTGTTTACATTTTGCAGAACAGACGGAAGAAGATCCGTCAATGTGCATTTGTTTCATTATGTTCAGAAGCGGTCATGTGAGGAGTTTTCACTCTTCTCCGTGCCTCACTCTCTCACACACACACACGCACACTTGCTTAATTCCAAATAAATAGATTATGATCCACAAATAAATAACGTTGAATTCTGACATTTGAAATGATTTAAAAAAATATAAATGTGAAATTTAAACCACCAGTAGATGGCTATCGGATTGGCTTGAGTAGACGGTGGGTGGAGTCCACGTATTCAGGGCTTGATGCTTACTTTTTTCAGAAGGAGCATATGTGCTCCTAAGTTGAAAAATTTAGGAGCACATTAAAGAATTTTAGGGGCGCAATGAAAATGTATTAAATAATGTATTTTTACCTAATAAAGGGATACGAGGAGACCTTTAAAAGCAAAGTGATTTCATTTATTTGAAAACAATAAGTACACTAGGTTCTCTTTTAATTATTTCAACAGCTGTCTCTTTAAAAGGTATTTAATATTTTTTTAATTTAAACTGTACGAACTGACTGAACATCTGTAATAAAAGTAGTTCTTGGTTCTAAATTCTTAAAGTTTACTTGGTCTGCAATTTTTCCAATCATTTCTGCACACCTTTTATTGTTGTCATATGTTGGATTTATGTCCATTCCGTTTTTCTTATGTACAGTGGGGCAAAAAAGTATTTAGTCAGCCACCAATTGTGCAAGTTCTCCCACTTAAAAAGATGAGAGAGGCCTGTAATTTTCATCATAGGTATACCTCAACTATGAGACAAAATGAGAAAAAAAAAATAGTGGGAGAACTTGCACAATTGGTGGCTGACTAAATACTTTTTTTCCCCACTGTAGGGTAATAAGCAGACCAAACTTCACAAAGGCTGTCTCTTCTTTAGCAATATAATATGCAATATTAAATTTTATTTTCAGCTGTCGTCTTTTTTCTTCTTCAGAAAGCAGCACCTGCCTTCTAACAGCTGCCTGCATGGTTGCCGATCCTTTGTTTTCTCGTGCTATGTACGCATCTCTGCAGAGTGCATGCCTCCACGATTTACCGTGTTTTTGTACTGCATCTCGTTTAAAATGAGGGTTGCCGTTAACAAAGGCCGAGTTGCCTGCTTGTTTCTGTCCTCTGCAATAGAGAACTGCACTCCCGCGGGAGTACCGCGGGACCCAACGCAACAGGGTGCGGCGCGGGACAACTCTTGATTGTCGAGTGCGGGTGCGGGCGGGAAGAGACTTGTGTGTGTGCGGGATGCGGGAGAATAAAATGATTCACGGGACTCCCGCAAAATACAAATTATCTAAATATAAAGTGTCTAAAACATATAAATTAATTATGTTGTACAAAAGCAAAAAGACCAACTAATATTAACATTAAAATGATTGATATGCGCAACCTAGGCATAGTTTCTATTTATAACACGTGTTTAAAGGGTAGCGCAACGTAGCCAATCACAGACTCAGCTGTTTTTTTTTCTAGAACACAATGGCCAATCAGAGGTGATCAAGTTAGAATCTACTCACCACAGTGCTGAAATTGCGTGCTCACGAATCCTCTCATTTTAACACATGAAGTGTAGACATTGTGAAAGATTCATTGTGCATACATTTATTGTGTTATAACAGAGCTTTATGAGATAGAGATTAACTGAGCTGTCAGCTTTTAGTGATAATAAAGGAAGCGCTGCTCTCATTCTGCCATGCCAAACATGCACGCAGCAGCCCATGCTTGCTTTTCTGTTAAAAATAACAGTGGTTTGTTAATGTTGATGCTTAGCCTAAATAACAAATATTTTAGCGGGGGTGTTGTGGAGCTTAGGAGATGTTACAGAACCATTTCATGTAAATTTCTTCGATGTACTGAAAAAGTCGATATAGATTACTTTTATGCAGGCGGGAGCGGGACAAAACATGAATGTCGCGGGCGGGAGTGGGACCAGATAAGATATATTCCTCCGTTATCGCTCCTCTTTTACGTTTTCGTCGCCCTCCTCTTCAATATCCTCCTCAGGATCGCCTGTTTCTGTCATGCTCCCATGCTCCAAATAATGACTATTTGGCTTCATGATTCATGTATGTTCTGTGTCTATCTCTCACTATGCACTACTGCGTTTAGGCAACCTCACGTTTTTTTTTTTTATGTGGCGCCTGCACTCATTTTGCATGGATCACGCAAGTTTTTTTTCCAGAGACCGCGTTATTACCGTTTTATCTGCTTGTTTTTTTTTTGG